AAGAAGAAAGTGGAGATGGATTGAACTGGACATACACTGAGAAGACCATTCCGGGACATCACGCACCACGCCAGGCCCTCGAGTGGAATCCAAAGGGGAAACGACGAGTCGGGCGTCCCAGCTGAGGGTGACATGAAGGAGATCATGTGAAGAAGAAATGAAAGCTTCTGGGCAGTCATGGAGCCAGGTTCAAAAGACTGCAGAGAACAGAATGCAATGGAAGCGTGCTATTGAAGCCCTATGTTCCACTAGGAACCCAAGAGACAAATAATGATGATGATTATAATAATATACATTTCAAATGAGAAGTTTAAAAACAATGGTAAGTTCTCATTTCAGTAAATTATTAAGAAAATATTCCGACTGTTTGTGTGATGACGGGCAGTAAATTTTTCCGAATTATTACCGAAATAAGAGCTTATCATTATAAGCGAACTTTCGATCAGTAATTTTAAGATTTAGATTTCTCCGCAAACCTCATTTAGTTATAAATTACACTCAATACATATTGATATCGGTGACTGCCAGGACGCGCGTAGATTATTTAACTCAATCGAACTAATCACTGTTTTATGTGTCGAGTTATTTCCACTGGAGAAAACAATGATGATTTTAGAGGATAAATGCAACTGAGCTGGTTTTTGAGGAGACAAAGTAGAAAAAGCTTCCCCTACATATTCATTGTTACGTCTTGGTTTGGTCACTCTGAACTCTCTTCCAAAATATTCCAACTTTTCCTAGTATAGTACATCGAGGCAGGCGGTCGCTCGGCATGTGCAGTACATACCTAAGCCATCTCAGTCAACTAAGGTTTACAACCTCATCAATCGATTTGACTTTCTTGCTTAGTACCCTTCGTCTGATCTCAACATTGCTTGCACGTTGATCCCACAAAACGCGAGAAGTGATATGAAGACACCTATGACTGAACTTTGCAATCGCTTCATGTCGTTTACTTTCAACGGGAGTGTCTTACAACCACATAACAGGACAGAATGGACTTGCTTGCTAGTCGGCACCACAAATGACACAAGTTAGCAAATGCAGAACGGGTTTTCTTTATCCAGTCTAAGATTTCGTCAACAACCAGCCCTCTCGGACTGATGTGACTTCCCAAGTGAGTGAAGTGGTCAACACATTCCATCACTTCGCCACTTCCGGAAAATATGTCTTGTCATGAAGTTTTGTAAGCATTGGTATGACTATTAAACGGCTAAGTATCATTTTTACTAGAGCAAACAAATGGCTATAATTTCCTTAAGGATGAGCATGGACTTGTTCTGCTGAGTGTACACAGTCATGCAGCTAAAGTCAAAGGCATTCCCTATGTTTATTGCTTACAACCATCCACCATCAAGTTCCGTCAAGTTCCAAGACTCAAAAAAGCTTTATACTTCTATGACATAACACAATCCAAAGTATATCGAAAAATGAGCAAACGTCTGTGGCTTTAAATAGTGAAGAATGATTGTATCTTAGGTGGATAATTTCGAATGTGTTCTGTTCTCTCAGCTGAGTGGTTTAATCGTGAAGATTTCATCATCTTTTTAAACAACACCATCAGAGCTAAATTCAATATGAAGCGAGACGTTAACGTCTCTGCGTGAGAGATTCAGTAGCTTGGCCTGACAAGTGCTACAAATTACCAACTGGTAATATGAGAGGAAAACATCTTCAACACCTACACTAGTTATAGGTGTCCTAGTAAAAAGACATTCCACTATGCATCAATATTAAAATGCTTTCAATACATTACATCACGTGACGTTTTATTTATTATTCGCAATGAGGCAAGCCTTCAGCGAAAGGATTACAGAAGATGAGATTAAGAAGAAGGGAGGTGAGAAAACGGTGGTAAATCGAGATTGCTTTGCGTCGATAAAAGGCCATCCAGGAATATACTACATATGTGGCTAAATAACACACCGGTCATTCACACGAAAAAAACTAATAAATGCATATCCTCAATTTAAAATAAAGAGAAACTATGTAGGAATAAACTTCTGATAGACTGAAAAAAGCTAAGCGTAAAATAGGCCTGAAAAACTAACTCCTAAATATACTGAGGATGTGTTGTTAAAGCTAGATTTCATCAAGTGTAGCACAAGCCATTTGAAGAGTAAAACACCTCAGATTTAGAACCGTTTTTTGATGAATGTCACCAAACATAGAACAGCACAGAAAAATAGCTCCACTAAAATGACAGAATACAATCAACATCACGCATAAGTTCATCGCCATAAGAAAGAGAATTCAAACCATGACAGACAGAACAAAACCAACGTAGAACTTCGCATACACGTGCATCACCTTAAGTTGTCACACTTCGCAAGAGTATACAAAGAATATGTCGATAAAAAAGGCTGATATCTAAGGAGACAAAGATGTATAGGAGAGAGAATTTAAAAATAAAGGTTACTCAAACCACATAAGCTTTAGAAGACATCTAGGACTGAATACATTTGAGCTATTGTGACCGATTTTCAGCTATGTCACCAACAAATCTCAACTACCGTTTCCTATTGTCTCGAGGATCCCAACTAGGTAGTCCACATCTCCCCGTGTGGCTAAGACCAACGGTCAGAGACTTCATGCAATGATCCCAGGTCTTGGTTTGACAACCCTGAACCATCTTCCAACCGAATCCAACTTCCTCCAGCATCGTACACCAAGGTAGGTGATGGTTTGGTGTGCGCTACGCATGCTCAAGCGACCTCATTCGATGAAAGTTCATAACCTCATCGACCAGCTTCCTTAGTACTATTCACCTAACCTCGACATTGCCCACACGGTGATTTCACTAAATGCGAGCAACTCTAGGAAGACGTCTACGGTCAGAAACCTGTCCGCTTCATACTTAAACTTTAAACGGCCATGTCTCACAGAGGACTGCAGGGCAGTATATTCATCTTCCGTTGGATAGTCAGATATCTTGCCAACTTGCGCCAGAAATGATTTGCGTTATGAAATGCCAAACTAGCCTTCTGTAACCGAGCTGCAATTTCGACAACAACCAAGTCTTTTGGACTCTTGCGACTCCTCAAGTAGGTCAACTGGTCAGCAGATACCACCACTTCACTCCCTATCATTAAACTGAGAGTAGTTGCAGAGCTGTTCAGATCAGTAGTCTTACACTTGACAAGTATAAAACGCATGCCAGGCATACTTAGATCTCTGCTCAAAGTGTTTAGAGGGAATTCAACCGACAACTAGAAGTGTGTGATAAAATCAGTCAACTATTCTAAAAGAGTCAGTATTTCCAAGATTCTTAGTTTACCTTGAGGATGATTTAGCCAGAGGCAGCCGAGTTACGACAAATAGTTCAGACCATAAACTCTGTCTTGGTTGATAGCCCAACATATATCAACCTCACAGACAGAAGTAGTCGAAGAGCATGTACTCTAATGAGTATATTCTTACCGCAATCCCCTCCCAGCAGATCAAAATGATGTCAACTAACACCAGACATTCATTTCGTCACTTCAAACTAGACTCAATAAGCAGCATGTGCCCAGCACTGAGAGCACCTCGACTTAACTAACAAGCTCTTCTAATAGTCGGTGAGAATGTTTTCTAACCATTCATATTAATTAGTAAGACATATACTCTGTTCAGTTTCGCCTTTAAATATAAGACACATATTAAAGCAATTGACACTGTTTAAATTGAGTATTCTTGTCGATCATAAACATAGAAACTTCGTATGAACAATCCCTTCTATGTTAAACAGTAGTCCCAGAGAAGAGATACAATCGAAACAATGAAAGGACCAACAAAATGATGGGGGAACGGAGATGATCGGTTTGACTATCTGAAAAAGCCATGATATGGCAGACTTGTATTGATACTGGGTGATGACTGAAGTTGAAATGAGTGCCTGGGCCGCGGCAGGATTGTGTTGCCTGCCCGGTGCTCTGCCACTAACTGAGCTGCGAGACCCAACTGCTAGTCAGATCTTAATTTCCCTTCAATCAACTAGGGTTTTGGCCGACTGTCATGTGAACTCGTGATGTGTTGCTATCGGTTGATCGTATTCACCCAGTATCAATACACAAGCCTGCCAAATCAAGATTATCTCATACAGTATGACGCTCCCTTTGTCTAATTCAAGTAGACTGAGACTGTGATGAGAAGTCCTGGTCGGGTAACCAGTGTGAATATAATCAAGATCTGGTCTGCAGCTCAGTTGTTGATAGAGCACTGAGCTGGGAACCTGGAGATCACAGTAAAGATGATCACGAGTTTAAAACGAATAAAATCCTGACATAAAATACATTTTACTATAAAATGAAGAGTTACTAGCAATGAACAAGAAGAAAGTGTTTTAGGCAAATTAGACGAAAATGACACAACATGAGCAAATCATATTCAACTACAAAATACGATTTAGGAACGATGAAGTTTAAAAGAAGTAGTCTTTAACTCGAATTTTAAAAACACAGACGTTCTGAAGCGTTTTGTGTGAACAGTAAAAGGCGCTTTGTCTTTGAGAGCATGATAACAGATTGGTGAATACGCACTCATTAAATATCAGTGATAAAAGCTACTAGTCGACAAGACAATATCGAAATGAGCAATTAGCATCATTGCGTAACGATCCAAGTTGTCACATCAAGAAGGAGAATGTACAAAAATGAAACACAAAGAAAAGAAGACAAAAGTGGTAAAAAATTGTGGAAAGACAGCGAGAAAGAATGAGACAATAATGACATCGATTTTGAGCCATATCACCTAGTCTCCACAACCCTCGGTTCCTATTGCCACACGGACCCCAATCGAGACGTCTAACAGTAATACAAAAATTGAACAATCTCGTATATACAAGCAGATAAACTTCAAAGCCAATGAACCATGAAAAACACCCGTTTCTCCCACATTACTGGACAGCTCACTTGAGAGAGAAAAAGCATGACGATTCGCATAAACTTCTAAAGACTACCTGGATAATATGATATACCATGTATACTAATTAGTTAGTTCAAGATGAATAATAAACTTACCACTTCTAGAGACTGTGATAATAATTGAGCAGCATCCAGCATAGTGAACAATACACGTCCACTCCACATAACATGTGGGAAACTGTAAAACATGAGTAGAATAATGACAATAGTTAAACACAAATACAAATATAAGATTTAACGTGTGTGAGTACTTAATCATCACTTACCTATACGAATCTCTACAGATCACAAGAGATAAGTAGTGAAAATTTGAAACACATGATACCTCTTCTTCACAACATTTGCATATCCATAAATGGAACAGGTATAAGGAGTGTAAAAAGAATAAACTTTATGTCACCCTTACTTGAAGATAACAGCTCAATTCTGACTAACCAGCTGAACAAAAAACTGAGTTTAAACAAGAATTGGTGGATCAGGTAAAACATGTTACTTATTTAAACAGTATCATCAAATGGTACGCATGCGTTTCATGCACATCGAATGTAAGATGATGTTTCGGGACTGATCTGCAACTACTCCCAGTTTAAGGGTGGGCAGTGAAGTGACTGGATGAGTTGACCACTTCACATACATGAGGACTTATATCACCTCGAACGGGTTGATTACTGACGAAATCTCAGCTGGGATACAGAAGGCCTATTTGGCTTTGGTCAACTGGAGTTATCTCCAGAACCGACTACCTATCAAAGGACGAGTATACTGCACTGAAGTTCGTTCTGTCCTGTTATACGGCTGCGAGACATCGCCGTTAAAAGTAGAAGAATATGAAGTGATTATAGGGTTTTGATCACAGATATCTTCGTAGAATTGCTCGCAGATGATGAAATCATAATGTTAGCCATGTTGAGGTCAGGCCAAAGGTACTAGGCAAGCAAACTAAGTTTGTTAATGAAATCGTGAACGTTTATTGACTAAGGTGATTTGGACATGTGTCTTGTATGCCAGGCCACCGCCAACCGCGATGTACAATGCTCGGAGAAGTTGAATTAGGTTGGAAGACGGCTCAGTGTGACCAAAAGAAGATGCGGCACCGATCCATGAGATCGTTAACTGTTGGTCTGAGCCATGTAGGGAAGTGGAGACTCCCTTGCTGACTGGGTCGCCGAGAGGATAGGATTGAATGTTTGAGGTCCTTCGATGACAATGGTGCAAATATGTTCGCTCTTTGCTGTCTTCTAAACCATAAATATTTGTACTAACCCTTAGCTTGGAATTGTTTATTCTCTTATATATCTTTTAGTGAGGCAACTTGAACCGATTCACTTGTGTTGGAAGTTCTACGTTGGCTTTGCCTGTCTGTCTGACTACTCAAACAACCCAGTACCCAGCCAACAATTAAGTATCCTATGGGTATTTTTTACAGTTAATTTGTCAATATCGCTTTTATTTTCGTTGACTTATTGGACTTTTATAATGAATACACACGTTAGATGGTGTATATTTAGCATTACGGCTACTACACACATAAACATATTTAGTGAATAACTTTCTAGTCTGAAATGCATTTCTTAATAGGTAAATATGAAAACCACCCCAGCGTGCCATTGGTACGCAGGGATTAGGACAAGCTCATATCATACGTAACCGGTTACTTTCAATGGTAACTCGACAAATGAAATCTTGAAGAAATACCAGTCACATGAGAGAGAGAGTATGATTCAGTTGCGGGATAATACTAAAAATGCAGTGTGAATATGGCGCAATATGACTTCGAATAACCATAGACTATCAGTAACTACAAACATTAATTTAGCAACTATGGTTATCGGGTTATAAAATGTCATATCCATACGTAAAAAGAATGTGAGCAACAACCAATCACGAGTCTCGTAAACGCATCTATCCTATGTTCTCATTCATCGATGATCCAATTAAGAGTGACTGAAAGTCGCGCAAACAACTACTGAAATAACCAAATAGGTTTTAAACTTTAGTCTCAGAAGTTAGTTTTAGCATAAAACCAAGACCGCTGAATGGTTATTTCGGTTGCTGTTAGAGTAACACTTAAAGCCCACTGACCGTAAGACCCCCATACTCCTAAAACCGTGACATTTTCTACACATTTTGATGAATACAACGTTATCATTCACTGTATGGTCTATCAGTCTACCTTCGCCTTCTCTATGAGTCAAGTGGTTTGACATAAGCGGCAAGTGGTCAACGTGCAAAGACCGACAAAATCATCGCAGGACCTCCCACACAAGTGTAACAGTCCAAGTTACCATACTTGGCAGCAGTATACAAAGAACAATTAGATAGGAAAGACTGAAATCAAAGTAGACAAAGTTGTGTGAGAGAACTCACAATTTGCAGATAAAGGTTAGCTTTAGAAGACGTCAAACAGTGAATATATCTGTGCGATTATCATCGAGTTTAAGATGTCTCCAAGACTCCTCAACCAGTGATTCCTTTCCTCTCAGTGACCCAAGCCACATAGTCTACATCTCCTCACAGAACTAAGACATCTCGACTGATGCCGCGTCTTGGTCAGCTCACCCTAAATCCTCTTCCACCATAATCCAACTTCCCCTAGCAGTGTACGACAAGGCAGGCAAGCACAATACATATCCAAGTCACCTCAGTCGATAAAGGTTCACAACCTCATTGACTTACTTGCTTTCCTTTCCTAGAACCTTTCGCCTCACCTCGACACTCTTCACCTGGTGATCCCACTAAATGCGATTAGTGCTTCGAAGACACTTGTGGTTAAAAGCCTGTAATTACCTCATATCTTCTAGTTTTAATGGCCATGTCACATAGTCAGATAACAGGACAAAACGGACTGCAGTGCAGTATACTCGTCCTTTGATGGATAGACAGACGCCATAGATGATACAAGTTTACATATGCCACGCGGGATTTTTATATCCGAGGTGAGATTTCGTCATAAACCAGCCCGTTTGGGCTGATGCAATTCCTTTACCGAGTGAAGTGGTCCGCACATTCCATCACTTAACTCACGACGCTTAAACTAGAAGTACTTGCAGCAGACCAAGCCTGGAGCATCATATTACATTTGACAGATGCAAAGGAAACGGATGCCAGATAAATTCAGATTTTCGCTCAACGCGATCAGAGGACCCTGGATTTTGTCAATGTCTTCACCTAACAGGACAATGTCATCTGCATACTCCAAGTCAGCCAGATAGTCTCCAATGAGTAGATCAACCCCTATGAAGTCAGACTTTCCGACAGTTTTGTCCATTAGTGCATTTATAACGAAAGTGTACATGAACGGTGACGGTGAGCAAACCTGGTGGACACCACTAGTTGTCGTCGATTCTGATGACAACTCTCCGTAGGCTCTTGGACAGTTGCCTGGGTTCGAGTGATGACCGTTACATACTTGCTTGGTACTCCATTCACAGTCAAACGCATACATAACACCTCAGTACAATAACGACAGACAGAACCAGTGTTCGACATTTCTCTCACCACGTTAACCATAGGAGTAAATAGGAACACCTAAACAAAACTAAGACCAGTAAAAACAGCCTCACCAGCAGATCAGGGACTTAATTACCTAAGTCCAAGTCACAGTATGGCAAACCGTTAATAAAATTCTCACTGGCAGCATTGATACAAAGTATTTTGAAAACTTTTTACCTGAATAATATAAATATTAACACTCAAAAGCTGTACAAATCGCGCTATTAAAAGTGAGAGATTAGTCAATCTTCACTTCAATATCCTTCGCACTAGTATGCTTGCGGTAGTCATCTGTATTTTTCGGTTAAGACCAGGAACAACAACGGTCATCAACCACCCGTTTAGTTAAGGACATGACAACTTAAGGACAAAAAATATGCATAACGATGAAAATGCAAGACCAGAAGTGATATAGGTAACACTAATGAAAGTGAATCTAGCGACGGTATACGGATAAAAATATCTTCACCTTACTTTTACTCTTTGATATCGTTCTCTTTTAGACTCTCGATCCAATTTACCTCCTAGCTCGCGTTGACTAGTTTACTTAAACTCATCAAGTGTCATGTTCTTGTGAAGCTGAATCACTACAACATGGCGTGAAGCCAGCGGAAAATTATTACCAGGTACTCAGTTATCTATCAACCGCCCACAAATCTAACAAACTAAAAGAAAGCGTTCAGTTTCTTGACAAATACAAAACAAACACCTTCAGAACACTTGCTATAAATAGATAGTTTGTAAAACGCGGTTTCTTGAAGGTATGTTGAGCAAAAAGAAAGTAAGAACGGAAAATGCCAGAATTAGGATATAATAAACATAGAGCAAGGAAAGAAACAAAAAGAAACGTTTGGCACAACTTAAGATGTTTCCAACTACACGAGTTCCTCAAGGTAGCACTCAATGGAGTAAGACAGATCAAGCTATGCCATTGCACAAAAATTGCTACAATACGTCATTCAAATGAATTAATGCATTCAACTTCCAGGCGAGATAAAAGCCAACTCTTCTCATCTTTACGCCTGAATAGCTTAGTAGTAACGTCGTGATGTGGATTTTAGTCTCAGAAGGGACAATAATTTTCCCTTGAGATTGCAAATGTGTTTTGCTGACCAGTGACAAAAAGGGCGGCATCTAGATCAAGCAAGACCTCCTGGGATTACCTGCGTCTAACTAACATCCATCAAAGTGCATCATTGTAGTGAACCTCCTAGCTTAGTGGCCACATTGCAAAATGATAGATCGATTCCAATCAGCACTCAGGACTATACAATATGTATTTTGGTTGCCCTAAAGTAACCAATTGATGTATAAGATTTTCTTCTTAAACTGCAGATTGTAGAGAAACTCATCTGGAAGCAAGTGAAGTTTATTCAAGAGTGACTTGTTGTTGTTGTTTGATACCTGTAATTCCCCGTTGTATCCTCGATTCTATTGCTAGTCACCAAAATGAACAAAATATCATGAATATCTGGCAGTCTCGAGGTATCTGCATAGGAGCCCATCTGCCATTACAGGTGGAGAAATTCGACCCTGTATAGTGACGGAAAATTACAAGTATCAATAAACGATTGAATTACATTTTCTCTTATCAAATACTAAGTGAATATATCTACAACAGTTACTTACTCTTTAGCTAACATGCTAAGAAATTCATCGGCTACAATACGTAGACTTTTATGTATACGCGTAAATGTGACCAACAGAAACTGAGCATGCATATCCATGATCGACTCACGTTCGGTATCCAATGGCTACAATGGTAAACAGAAACGATAGGAATAAGCTTTGGAGTGTGTGAGACGGAGAAATGAATTTAAGAAAACGAAAACAATTGGTTCAGTGAAGACATCCTTTTCAGAGATTTCATTCACTAAGCTGTACAATCTCAATTTTAGTGAGAAAGTACAATTTGTTTCATATGTGAAAGCACTTTGTTAGGCATGGCAACAAGGTGGCAAAATGGAAATATGATTCACATTCTAAAGTAAGCAAAATGTTTATGAATATGGAAAAGTAATCAGAAAGGTATCTTAGTAACAAACAAGGTGAAATTGCCATTACCTAAAATGTAAGTTTGCTTCGCTTAGTCAGCATTGTTCAAGATATCATACAAATTAAGTAAAGATGTTTAATGTTCCATATTAGATTGCTTATTTGAAATAGCACACAGTAACACAGTAACGAAAAAACAATTTAACATGGAATTATACTCCACCCTAGTGTCCAAGTTTTCCCCCCTTTCATGAATAAACGATGTTGCTCATATTATCTCGCCGTTGATTGGATCGAATATAGTGAGCGTTATAGTTCGTTGGTATAATGCATGAAGCTCTGGTTTTTGAAGCGATCGGTCCCGGGTTCTAGCCTTAGTGCGAACAACATCACCCTCTAGGAGGCACATACACCCAGCTGACGAGTCCCAAATACGACCTAATGTGCCTTGTGAATTCCATTGCTAGCCACCTTACACTAAAGGCGATTAAGTCTGAATAACGAGTTGAGTAACATGAGGAAATATTTATTGAATGAATTGTTTATCAGGGTGGTTATAGAAACGTGAAATAGCTGCTAATATATAAGAAATGAATCGAACAGAAGAGTTAGAAGAGAGACTGGTATTGCGAAATGCTAAAGATAAAGGCCATGAAAGGAGCCAGGGTTGGATAAGCCTCCTTTGTATGCAAAGCTCCGGTTTGAATTCCTAAGGCTTCAGCAATACAAAGGAGGTAGGTTCGTACTGACTTTGGCAAGTTTCTTTTCACTTTTTAAGTAACTCAGAACGAGAAAGTGGTTATTGAGATTGAATGACCAGCGTCATCAAGCTTTCCCATTATCATACTTTCTACCTAGCTCTACAGAATCAGGTGAACTGATATATATATACATAGAGGTGGACAAATTCTGCAAAAAATGTTCTCTTCAGAGAGCTTGAAATCTTCAGGATATCGGCAAATACATCACCATTTAAGTCAAGGTTCATATATGGTATCTTTCTCGGTACAGAAACTGAGTAATCTGTTGGAGGTTTCAGTTAAATATTTTTATCTATGAACCGTGGTGGATATTCACTTTCGATAAAACCTTTTTTCAAAGTGTTTATCTTTTCATGTAGAGCATCCGGACCGGAAATGCGTCGAATACGACTACCAACGGATGTAATTAAACTTCTCTTCTGACCAATAGATACCCAACTGTAGAAATTTCTCAGTTGCCAATTTCATGTCTGTTTTCTATAAATCGACAACTTCAAACTACCATAAGTCTTTCTTGTTAGTAGGAAAGACATTTTTGTTGGAAAGAATAAATATGTATTGCATAAAACGAGGCAGGCTAGAGACTAAGTAACTAAGAAATAAGACGAAATTCCAGCGCTTGAGCTATTTCCGTCCATAACACATACACACACACGCATACGTTGTCATTACATTCATGCTTCTTCACTATAATGAAAAAACTCATACAGAAATATTTCGCCTACGATGAAACTGATACTGTGCGATGATTGTAGGTGGAATGAAAATTTAGGCCACGGCAGGATTCGAACCAGTAATGTGCAGGTTATCAGGCCGGTGCTTTACCAACTGAGCTACGAAACCCAATTGCACACCGGATCTGAAATTAGCTTCAATCACCAATGGTTTGCCCGAATGTCATATGAATTCATGATGCTTTCCTATCACCAGACAGCATTCATACTGACTAACAGGACTTTTCATCCCGATCCAAAACTATATGAATTAGACAGAGGGAGTATCATATTGATCATCAATTTGACTGTCTAAGGTAGCCATGGTCCGGAAGATTTGTACTAATGATACAGGGTTATGGTTGAAGGAGAAATAAGTCCATGTCACGGCAGGATTCAAACTAACAACAAAGATGTTGGAAGAATGCGATAGCATTGAGATTTCTAAGTGTAACGAAGGAGAGAGAGAAAAGAATGCAGTGGAGTTAATAAAATGCATACCTTGGCTTTCATTTGAGCAAGATAACGTGTGAATATACGAACAGCCACTTGAGAAATACATGTCCACATACCTGATATTATAAAATGTATGCAAAATAGTGAACTTAATAATTAGTAAATTTCTAGCAGATTTAAATAAGCCAACAAACACGATTAGATAAGAAATAAATTGTTGTTCTAGTCATGTTTTCTGATGTACAATAGTATCATTCTCCCTCTCTAAGCTTATAAAATCCCTTTTTTATCATTTGAAGTTGTTAAGATCAATAATCTGAGCCAGTCACAAATTAAACACAGTGGTGTAACTGACGACGAGGGCTTGTATGACTGTTAGGACTTTTGAGTTGTCATCTGAATTGATAACTCTGAGAACCTTCGAATTCGCAAGGATTCACCTAATCCCTGCAGGAAATTTGGTTGATTTAGAATACGTAAATGACACGGTGATGTAGGGCGGAGACACAGACAAAATGCAGTCTTATGAAAGTCGCATGCGTTTCATACCTATTAAGTTTATTCAGCTCAGATACAGAAAACGCGTTTTGCGCTTGCCAACTTGCAACAAAACCAACTATCATTCAAAGAACGAATATACTGCACTACAGTTCGTTCTGTCCCGTGATACGCCTGAGACATGGCCGTTAAACGTAGAAGATATAAGGCAGTTACAGAGTTTTGATCACAGGTGTCTTCATAGCATTGCTTAGGTTTGGCGGAACCAGGCAAGTCGATTGATGAGGTTGTGAACCTAAGCGACTGCGATGGTTTTGGATATGAACTGCCCTTGCAGAGCTAACATCGCCCAACCTCGACTTGCCATACTACGGGAAGCTGGATTAGGTTGGAAGAGGGTCCACAGTGGCCAGACCAACATGTGGCACCAGTTTATACAGTCCGTGACTGTTAGTTGGGGCCGTGTAGAGAAATGCAGACTAAATGGTTGGGGTTCGCGAGACGAAAGAAATCAGTGGGTGAGGACTCTTGGTGATATGACTGAAAATTAGTGACAATAGTCCAAACGTATTCACTCTTTAATGTTTTCCAAAGCTTCAATGTTTTGACTAACCTTTATTTACTAAATTCTTTCTCCTATCTTAAACCATCGTCTGCTTTGATATCAGCCTTTTTCTCTGTATATCACTCTGTGGCAAGGTGAACCACTGATGCACTTCTATGTGAAGTTCCAGGAAGACTTCATCTATCTCAATAGTTATTAAGGTGACCTGTAGAGTCATTCATTATTTATGGTTTATTAACAGTGAGTTGATGTAATTCAAGATAAAAAAAATGTTTAAAAGTTCCAATTTTTAAATAACTAGGAATTTAACTACTACTAGAAGTATGATTATTTAGAAAAAGACTGATTGAGTGAAAAAATATGTTCCTTTTCAATTAAGTCTTCGTCTTGGGCTCTAGAATAATATATAGTTTTACAAATTAATCCAATTACTAATTAGGTGGTGGGGGTTGGTGAGCAATAATCATAGATTTTAAGTCATGAAGATGATGTTTTAGAAATAAGGATGTAAATAATCAACAGGATTATTAAAATTGAAAGTATGAAGCAGGTTGTTCTTAGGTAAATGGAGTGATTTTTTATGAGTGTTCAGTCATAAATAATAAGTGATAATAATAAAACAAATGAATGGTGATAGAAACAAGGAGAGGAAGAGGTATACAAAGTAATACTAAAAGTTATATCATGCTGACGGCCACGGTAATAAAAGTGGTTGAACAAACTTCTTTTGAATACAAAGGTTAAGTTTGTAAAGGTGGATTGCGATCGCCTCTGCCATGTGAAGCAAGCGAGTGCGTAATCCATGTGGTAAATTAATTGGAACGTGATGAATAATTTTGAAAGCTTTTCTAGTATCCACTTGATATCCCGTGTCAAGCAGTATGGAGCTCTTCATTGTTCTAATTTGTCCCTTGCTCCACCATCGTTGCTGATTTCCCAACCATGTCACCAAGAGTCACCAACCACTGATTCCTGTAGTCTCAGGAATCCAGTCAGGTAGTCTACATATCCCCACATAGCTCAGACCAACAGTTAGAGACTTCATGAGCTGGTGTCACGTCGTAGTCTGGCAACCTTGAACCCTCTTCTAACATAATCCACTTAGATACGGTTAGTGAATAAAATTGAATATGAAGTGATCCAGTAGAAGTGACTGATAGAATAATACGAAATACGCGAACGCTACTAACGTAATGAGACACTTGGAATGAATACAAATAGCGACTGGTTTCCAGCAGACTTCATACTTCACTGAGTTGGGGAAATGAGAAGCCAAAGACCGGTCTGTGACTGTAAGGAAGAAGACTTTATTGGACAAAAACATATCAGCTATAAACAGTTTTCCCTCAGAAAGTAAAACCAATAGGTCAGAAGTTGGATACTTATTTAGACTAACAAAATTGTCCAGTAGGGTTTTCCGTGCTCCCACAGTAACAAGAAACAAGGTTGGAATCTAAAAATTCTACCATACCGGTTAACTAATACTAGAAATAACAATATATGCTTGCATCGGGCTATTTACTGTCCTGTAAAACTTACCAAATTTATCCTTTATAATAATATTGTCCTCCAAATACATGAACAGTCGATGAAGTGCTTCAGGATCAGCAGAATGTGCAATACTATCCGATGAAGGAAGAAAAAAAGGAGGGGACAATGAACAACGTGATGGTATGTGGTTTATATTGGAAACCACTAATTCATTTTATCGAGTAATGAATAATTCGTTTCAGAGATATATAGCCATGAAATCGTCTTATTATGCAGCAAGTATGAGCAACAACTCCTCCTGGACTGATACTACTTGGAAACATATTGAAAACCTTGGAGCACTGGACAGTTGTTATTTTGTCCTACCGCTCCATAGTTTTCAATGTTTATCCAACTGATTTCAGTTCATAATGAATATCAACTTGAAATCAACAAATAAATCCACACGAACCTCCAGATTGAACAATTAATCCGTTTACTTTTATTTGAAACAATGGAGCTGAAATCCGTTACCCTCCTTGACTGAGAGAATAGTCTCTCTCATTTTGACAACAGAATCTTCAACATGTAATCAACTAACTCAAAGAAGGCATAACGATGACCGTTAGTAGTCAGTTTGACCAAAGTGTTCAGAAGCTACTATGACTATCATCTCAGAAGTTCACACACAGAAGTGTCGGCATAAAGTGTGAGTCAACTAGTAAAATTAAGGCGACAACAACTGTAACTGTATACGCATTTTTGCTATACTTTCTTAGAATAACGAAGGCAATGTCCAAAGAAATGCTTTTCATTCACTCAACAATCAGATACTATATTCACTGACTGAACTAAACGTGAGTATGTGTCAACTCCAACAGGGTTAGTTGCTTCAGGCAATGGACCAACAGTATCGAGAAACCCAACTAGATAAATATATTTGAACAGTTCAGCTATATATCTGTAGTTCCTTCACCTACTAGTGCATGCATTATCTAACCGGATTCAGTTCAAAATGACTTCTATACATCCTTCAGGACTCGTTAACCACAATTTAGACGATTAAAAAGTGTAGCAAATAATTAGAAATCTTGAAGAATTTATTTTCATTGACTGATCACGGGACAGAAAACCATTTAGTGTTGTCTAGTCCTGAGTGCTGACCGAATTCTGTTGACCATTCTGCAATGTGGCCACCAAACTAGAAGGCTCACCATCGGGGTACACTTCGGTAGGTGTTAGTTAGGTGGAGGCAGTCGGCAGGAAGTCTTGCTTGTCAGCACTGATGTCCCCTGCGAAATAGAAACTAACTTAGTGGCCACACTGAAAAATGATCGATAGAACTAGAAAACATAAAATTGGTTGCTCTCCAGTGGTCAGTCAATGTATCTAACCTAGTTCTATAGGAGGTCAATCGCAGCCCGAATAGTTCGCTGGTAACGTCACTGGCTGTTTAGTACGGGTTTGAATCTCAGACCGGATATCAATTCCCTTGAGGTCGCACATACACCTTGCTGATGAGTCCTAACAAGCACGCAGCTTAAGTCGAGCAGGGCTTCCTGCCGAATAACTCTAACCAACTAACTTTTTATTTTCTTGTTAGCGCTGAGCCAAGCCCAATTCTCAAAGTCATGTCGTGTTACTCCTATCTACAGGACAGCTATGTATCCACACCCCTTTTTCACCGGTTTAAAACGCTGAAATCTAAACATCTCTAAATATTCGAAGGATTTGTATGAAAAAGAGCCGAATGTTACAGAAATCAATCTAATTCCCAGTATAAAATCACACTGCAGCATAAACAGAAAGCCAAAAACAACTTTAGAGTGAAATAAAAACAGAATACAATTTAAGGATAGAGAAAAACTCAATTATGGAGGACCATGGAACTTACCATAATGATTCCAATCTATAAACAGCCATTAAATATATACACTGTGTAACACTCATCCGATTAATTAATGAAGTTGTTTCAGCATTATTATCCAGAAGGACGCATAATTTGTTGCGGATATCACTTACGTCAGTCTAAATGAAGATAGAGGGGGAAGAACAAAAGTCAAGAAATTACGCATATTCAAAATACAAGATTATAATTAAACAAGTATGCAATATACTTAACTTGTAGTCAGCAGAGAAAGATGATGAACTTCACAGTAATGGACTGAAATTCACGAGAACATCTTGTTAAACTCTACCGACAAAATTGTATGCTATACAAACATGATATAATAAATTATTCAATGATTGCGATCCAAATAACTGGATTTCGACATACTTTCTGCATGGCGACACACTCATCAGAAAACTTCAGAGTCGATTCCGAAAGGACTTTTGTCACTGTGCTTTACTGAGATCGCTGGGGAGTGATAGATTTTAAGACCTGAGAAACCGTGGTCTGTGCGGTCAGGTCACTTAAGTCGGCATTAGATGATGGTTATGTCACATCGCAAATTGACAGAAGTAGGAAATTTTGCATCACTGGGATCCTACCCAGAGGTTTCCTAATTTGGTCTCTAGTACAGTCACCACGCCTGGTTAACTAGTTCACTAGTTACTAGCCGGTCCTAAGCCCCAGTAAAGAGGGAAGGTTGGGCATAGGGCTAGCAACCCCACCCCGTAAAACAAATCTAATCGCTAAAGAAACTTCAAAGCACAAACGGTCACAGATGTGACGCCTGTGACAATCATAACATAGTTCATACAGATCAATGTCAGATATTGTGACATAACGTTTGCCGGGGTTAGATCGAAAAACAATCACCTCTAGAAATCAGAAACTCATGTTATTTCGTAACCGTCTACGGCTGAAATAAATCTGAATTTCTGTGACAAAATGTTCCGATAACCCAGTTTTAGACTAAAAAGAATGAAACAGAAGGCAAAACGTGCAGTATATGTTGATGCAAAAAATGGAGGTATATATGAGATTACGATGAACATAAAACAACTGTTGAATAACATGAATACAAGCAGTTCTAATAAAATAACTATTACAATTGTAATTAGTATTAAACATTGCTATTCAGAGAAAGGTGCATGGTACAATTCATCTTATTGAGAAGAATAAACATACTTGATGAAAACACTTCACTTGCATATATACGCTACTCTTACTGAAACACCCGACAGTCAACTCAGCTGAAAATATACCATAATGCGAATACACACAAACAGACAAAATCAACGTAGAACCTCGCACACAAGTACATCACCTCAAGTTGCCACACTTCACGTGACTATACAAAGAATAGGTGGATAAAAAAAGAGTAATATTAAAGTAGACAAAGTAAAGCGAAATAATAAACAGTCTGAAGATAACAGTTAATGCAAATATTCAAGGTTTAGAAGAAGTCAAGGAGTAAACACATTTGCGCCAATGTTACCGATTTTCAGTACTCAGACGCTAATTCCTTTCATCTCCAGTACCCCAGCCAGACAGTCCACATTTCCCACACGAATCAAAACAATAGTCAGAGGCTTCATCAACCCATGCGACGTTGTGACCTGGCCACGTTAAGCCCTCTTCCAACCTTATCGAACTAGCCCTATCATACCAAATCGAAGTGGGCGGCGGAGTGGGATGTGCAACACACATCCAAACTACCTCAGTCGTTAAAGGTTCACAACATCATCAATCGACTTGCCATTCTTGCCTAGTACACTTCACCTGACCTCAACATTGCTCACACAGTGATTCCATCATGTTGAACACTGAACTTAGTCCCTTAGATGCTTCCTTCTACCTATCTCATACAAAAAGATAGATACTCAAGCAGTGATAAGAAGGAAAAAAATCAGAAGACAACGTGAATAGTGTTGGTTAATTAGCTTACTTGAGATAAATTTCTTGCGCTCAGTGCAGCGCTTTGTTGTAGCTCCGCGCGTAGGGAGTCCTTCAGCAATAAAACAGGGGATTTGGTTGCAATTTCACAAAGACCATGATAATATTCAACAGGCCATACAGCTAAAGAAATAAAAATTAAACAGAGGGAGAAGTTACAGTCAGCGTGATGGAATGTAGTCATGCAGAATTCACTACTGTTTGTAGTAACACGTAAATGTGAGTGTGTGCCCAAATAACATAGAAGTTGATATCAGTTTACTTCTTTGAAACCTGACAGTTTTCGGGTTGGTATTCATCATGACTGCTGGGACCAACCAAGTCAGATGTGAAGATAGTCACTCAACGACGGCATTGGACGGAGGTCATGCTATATCGTTAACTGACAAGTGGGAAACGTGAATCGTTAGATTCCTACCCAGCAGCTCAATGGTAAGATATTGGCCACGGAATACGAAGGTCCTGGGTTCAATCCCCGACGGGATGTGATCAAAGGTGCACACTGTGGAGTTAATTACTAGGACGAAAAGCTGTCTAGTCCACCTGGGTTTTGAATGGTCCTCCAATTGATTTCAGTCCAAGATAAATACAAACCTGGAGTCGATAAATAGGTTTCCATAAACCTCCAAATTGAATCCTGACAGTTTTGATGTTAAAGCTTTAAAGTCTCTATTGTTGATTGCACCGAATTGATCGGTCACTACTGGTATATGGGCTCGTGTGAAAATGCCTCAATCTTATCGGTCTTTACAATCTTAATCTTGACAGTTCCCTTAAACAGAAAAATACCCTCATAGGCAACGTTAACTGCATAAGAGATGAATGGATTCTATCGATTCTTAAAAACTGAGAAGAGGGGAGTCGAACTGATAGGATAGCATAACAACATCCTAACTTCATCTTGCATATGTAATTCCTCACTTAACCTCCTGGTATTTTGATATTTCCACTACAATCTACCTAATGTTCGACTCATGAGTTATGTGAATAATATTTCGTGACCCGTTAGTCAATAATAAGTTGCCTTTTTACCGTGATAAAAACTTGTCCATGACTTCAAAGTTTAAGAACAAACACACACCGAAAATACAATATGATAATACGAATATTACTGGAGAGAGGAGGATTAAATTAAACATGTATGTGAATGCTTTGTTCACTAACGTTCAGATGTGTTCAAGACAACTAACATTCTCTTCCACTGGCTACATATCTTGTAAAAACCTTTCATTCCCTATTACCGCAATGTACCGACAAAGTTTCTTTCACATTCGAAGGTAAACGCTTTCGACAAGTTGACAATGTAGCTATGAGAAGGCCTCTAGAACCATTACAGGTGATATTTATATGTCTGACGTCGAAAATTTAGCTGGTGAGATCTCATCGTCGATGACATTATAGTGATTTGTAAGAAGCATGAGGATATGGTTTTTTCTGCTGAAACGACTGAACATCGTAAAAACTCATATTAGCCTGACTTGTGAGAAAGCAAACAATAATGATCTTCCACTTTTAGACATAGAGTTGAGTCGAGATGGTTCAATAAGATGGTCAGTCTACAGGAAGCCTACGCGGACAGGACAATATCAGAATATTCACAGCTGTCGTCAAACTTAATATAGGCGAAATTTAATAAAATGCTTGTTTGATAGGATCAATAGTATCTGATGTACAGATACGACAGATAAAGATATCAAATTACCTGACAAAACACCTATGAAAAACGGATATCCCTTGAAGTTTACAACTCATTGTAGAAGTCAGGTATTACTAAAGCCAACTCTATACACCGTTCGCAAGAAAAGTGTACACATCACGGAGGGGAGTTGAATAGTATAGTTCTGAGACGTAGGCTAGCAGCAACTATTAAGAAGACCTATTGTGCAGCTAAGACTATTATTGTGAAAAAAACAGGCTTTACCACAAACCTAAACACTGCACGAATGACTATATATGTGTGTGGTTAAACATGCCCAGAGTGGAGTAATCAAATCATGCAGTCAAGAGTGGGAGAACATGTACCTAAATGGCTCCAAAAACACTTGGAGTGTAGAATTTTGATAAGCGCAGGTGGGAGACGACCCTCTTCATCTATCACTAAACATATTATAGAAACGGGTCACAAAATTAATGTTCAAACACCTATTATATAGAAACGAATAGGAAGGCATACTAAGATTTGCGGACGCTATAGCCATACGCAAATTTAAACCATCTTTGTGTGTAAAAAAACAATTTGTTCTTGTTAAAGTTTGTCTTCTTACCAAGATTAGGATCAATTATGTCACTCTTCGTTTTGTTCTCATCCTTCTTATTTTTAATCCCCTATTATCTCAACTATTCTATTTATCCTTCCATTTATTCTTCGGTTTAATATAGATTGAACTCTCATTGGCTAACAGTAAACCTTAGCACCATGACCTCATTCCTTAATCACTGATGTCTATGGCGTTTGATCTCGTCTTATTGCTTTTGTGTGCATGTGTCAAAACAATGCAATATACTATGCTTTGGTTCCATGCCTGCATTATTTAAACATTCGAAAACTCGTACAAGATTTATTCTACGAAGAATCGGTTTCTATGATGTCGTAAAGATAAGAAACCTACTTTACTATTTTATTGGGATTCAATTATTAGATTCTGTTTGTTTTAAGAGTTGTGTCTGTGTATAATTCATATTTTTCGAGAAGCAAATACGGATGGTTACTTCAATAGTTAGACTAAGTATCTTCAGTGTCTAACTAGACATCATATTTAATGCATAAGGTATACAGGTTTGTTGATGGTTGGAGGCAATCGGAAGCAAATTCAGCTCAACCTAGGTTTCACGCTTGTTAGTACTTGTCAGCAAGGCAAATCTGCATCAAATACAAACAGGGATGATATGTTTTGCGCAAATATGTAACACGTTGTTCAGAACAATTTTGTCGTCTAGTTACACTGTCGAAATTAACCATCCAACAATTTTTCGTCGATATTTCAAAAAAGAAGTGAATTATCAAAGCGAACCGCAAACTCAACTTGTGAACACACATAATAATATCATGTGTATACATATCCAGTTCATAATGAAGTAATAAGAACACTTATAACCATCTATTATTCTATTGAGAATTTAATGAAACAAACTAATTTCGATTCAATCTTAAAGGCTTCTTACGTCATACAGCTGATTGATTTCGATGGTGATGGCTGTTATCGTCTTACATGCCCAAAAATTTACAGTAACATAATCGAAATTTAAATACGGTCATGTATTGATAGGTCCAAAATGCAAAGAGCTAACATCATAAAAGTTGAGTGAACCAAACAACTATACTTCAGAGAAGACCCAAGGAACAAAAATTTACATCCAGAAACTGTACAGAGTATGAATTAAGAGACTAACAGTACAAACATATTCAGAATTCATAGAAAACGAAACGAACAATGTGATTCAAAATCTGAGTAAAAGCTACTGAAGAATTTAAGAAAATAAATGAACATTTCATCATATACTAATATAGGCATGTGCAAAACACTTCCATTCTATATTTGATGATAACAGGCTGGTTTTTGCTACAATTCCGTAAACTTCCAGCCTGTTTCTTCCGAATCAAAATGGAAAGGTTCAAATTAGCCACTTGTGAAAACGTAAACCTTTATGAAATTCTCAATGTACCCTTCCCCAAATGGTTAGAAAGTATCAATAAACAATAATTAATACCCGCTGCACAAGAGAACCTCGCCTAATTAACTAGTTCACTAGTAAATAGCCGGACCTAAGCCCCGGTAAAGAGGGAAGGTTGGGCAAGCAACCATACCCCGGGAAACAAAATATAAAAAAACATGAAAACAAACTTATTCCTCACTGGAATCGGAAAGACGAAATGACGCCGGTTGATGAAAGCCTTCGGGAAGCCAATTGAAAGATGTGTGTCTCCGCTTCTCTCGATAAAAGCAAAAGTAAACGTCAGAAAATGGAATGTCCGCACCATGTATAAACCTAGCAAGGCTGCCAGATTGAAAAGAGTTGAGAGGGGATGCAACAGAAGTGCACGGAATCTGAAAAAGCAGATGGAATGGAAGTGGACTCCCCAAATTGTCAACTGGAGAGTCAATAATCTACTCCGGTCATCCAGACGACAACCAGGAGCACATTGAGGGAGTCGCTATCATGATATCTCCAAGAACATCAAAACTCTCATGAAAAGAGAACCAATCTTCTCCAGGATCACGATAGAAAGATTCAAATCAAAAGCAACGGAAATCACAACCATACGATCCAACACTACCCACTCACAAAGAATCCAGATCAATAGAAGAATTGGGAATTCTGCAGACAACTCTAATCAGTAAGCGGACAAGACTCCACTCCAGTTGGCGACATCAAAATTCATTCTAATCGTGTGGGGTGGGTGACATGAATGCCAAACTGAGAGCAGACACAAGAACCAAGTCATGGGTCGAGAAGCACTCACTGAAATGAACTGAGAATGGAGAACTGTTTGCAGATTTCTGTGCATTCAACAATTTGGTGATTGGAGTCAGGCAGTGTGTACATAACACAATGATATTTCACAATGCAGCGACATGGATTTGACTTCACCAGACACCACGACACACTACACCAAAAACCAGATCGACTTCATCTCAATATGAAGAAAGGGGAGATGGAGACGCAGCCTACTGGACACAAGATCAGACAGATCAAGAAGGGGAGCAGATGTAGGTTCACACCACTCACTATCTACTCCAATGAACCTACCTACCTTCAAAATCAAGTTGGAAGCCTTCAAAGAAGTTGGTGATACACCACAGTCCAAGTTTAACACCCAGAACAGAAACTGAAGCACAAAACTACAAACGACATCTTCACGTCAGTCAGTCATCAGGAAAAAATGGGAGACATTAGGCAACATCCCCGAGGAAACCTGCCTGGAAGAACACTGGAACTCCTTGAAAGAGATGTGGAAAGAAACCTGCATAACCGTGTTAGGAGGGAAGGAAGGAAGGAAGGAAGAAGAAACAAGACAAGTAATGGAATGGATCTCGATGCATCTCCACATGGAGGCTGGTGAAGCTGGGAGAGGAAGAGGGTGAAACAGAAGATAAACCAGTGCAGTGCAGTGCAGTGCAAGGATAAACAACGAGAAGAGGAACTGAACACAACATACAAAACACTACACTGGACAAAGAAGTGAAGAACAGTGCGTGCAAAGACAAAAGACACCTCTACGACACACTGAAAAGTGAAGCAGAACAGGCTGCTGGTAGCAGAGACCTGACAACAATGTATCAAATAACCAGGTTACTATCTGGGAGGGAAGAGATCAACGCAGATAAAACCAATGAAAGATAGTGAAGAAAACCTAGTTACCGAAGAGTAGAAACAAAGGAAACGATGGGCTGACCACTTCAAAAAACTCTTGAATCGACCACCACCATCACCTGCAACTCGTCCAGAAATACCACCAACAGCCCAGCCACAGAACCACCAGTGAACACAAGCCCTCCGACAAAATCAGAAGTGGAGTCCTGAACGCCATAAAGTTGCTGAAATCCGGGAAAGCAGCAGGACCAGATGGAATTCCACCACAAGCACTGAAAACGGACACAGAGACAACAGCGGAAATGCTCACACCACTACTGCACAATGTTTGGAAGGAAGGAAGGAAAGGTACCTGCCTGCAGAGTGGAAGAAGGGCTACCTTGTCAAACTCCCAAAGAAGGGAGACCTAAGTGTTTGCAAGAACTGGTGAGGAATCATGCTCCTGTCCACCCAAAGCAACCAAAATATTAAGCCGTATCATCCTGGAGAGACTGAAAGATGCGCTGGATTTGAATTTACGACCGGAACAGGTTGACTGGCTTCAGGAAGAACAATTCATGTGCGGAACAAATTCCAATCATACGCTACGCATCATCATAGAATGGCAGTCAACTGAACTCCACCTCAACTTCATCGACTTTGGAAAGGCCTTCGACAGCGTCGACCGAGAAGTAATTTGGCAACTGCTTCAACATTACGAAGTACCACAAACCTTTATCAACCTCATTCAACAGTTATATGACGACGCCACATGCCGAGTGATTCACAATGGAAAGCTCAGTGACGTCTTTGAAGTGAAGGCAGACAGGAGTAAGACAAGGTTGCCTACCATCACCGATGATCTTCCTGATTTATGGTGGACTGGATTATGCAACAAACTGTGAGGAGCGAGAAGATGGGCATACGCTGAACCGACGAAAAGAGTCTAGAAGATTTGGATCTCGCCGTCGATGATGATTTATGTCTAATGTCCTGTTGCACAAACTCGAAGATCTACTGGCGAAACTAACAAGTTGACAGAAAAAGCAGCGAAAATGGAACTTCAGGTGAACTTATAGAAGACAGGAGTAGAGGTGACGAAGATACCTAACCAACACAACCAACAACAATGACAATCTCCTATCACCATCAACAGGAGAAACTCAAAGGAAGTAGCCTCCTTCACCTATCTAGGCAGCACTGTTTCAGCTACAGGCAGCACAGACGAGTACGTCAGAACCAGGATCGGAAAAGCAAAACAGGCGTTAATTAACCTGGAATTAGTGTGGAGATCTTCTGCACTCAGCATAAAGAACAAGATCCGGATCTTCAACAGCAACATCAAGTCAGTGCTCCTGTATGATTCAGAGACTTGGCGCGTTACGAAAGGCATTTCCAACAAACTGCAGGTATTCATCAACAACTGCCTACGCTCGTTACTGAAGCTCAGATGGCTAGGAAGAATAAGCATCAAGGAACTCAGTTTGGCAACGAAGCAAGAACCCATCGCTCAACAAAATATGCAGAAGGAAGTGGAGACGATTGGTCATGCACTGAGAATACCATTCGGGGACATAACGCACCAGGCACTCGAGTGGAACCCAGAAGAGAAACGATGAGTTGGGCGTCTGAGGGTGACATGGAGGAGATCGTGTGAGGAAGAAATTAGAGCTTCTGGGCTGTCGTGAAGCCAGATTCAAAAGATTGTAGAGAATAGAGTGCACTGGAGACGCGTGCTACTGAAGCCCTATGTCCCACTAGGAACCCAAGGGAGAAATAATAATAATAATAATGCACAAGAGGTGGTTCTCGTATCTCAGAAATCTGGTGGAAAAGGGTTAGGTATTTGAACCAACGGGTACTAGGTTTTAGTCTCAGTGAGAACACCACTCCTGGGATGCAGTATACCCAATAGAAAAGTCTCGAGTAGCACTAAACGCACGTCCACTGCTACCCTCCAAGTAAATTACAACAAAAGAAAAAACAATAAAAAGTAGTAGGAAGTCGTGAAAATAAAGCAAACAGGAATGATAGAATACTGAAATCTAGTATGAAGGGTAAGAATAAGATAATGTGTGAATACACGTGCACTACTGACATCTATTCTAAGTCATATCATCTATAGTCTCCAACCACCGACTTAGATTGTCACACCGACACCAATAAGGAAGACTACGCTCTCCTACACCGCTCAGACAAACAGTCAACGAGTTTCACTGAATGATGACACGTTTAGCCTGGTTACCCCAACTCTTTTCCCGAGCTAAACCTACTTCAATCAGCAATGCGCGACGAGGCATGCATAATACATGTCATAGCCACTTTAGTCGATGAAGATTCATAACCTCCTCAATTGACTTCCCTCTCCTCCCTAAAACCCCACCCATGACTTAAACACTACTGGTATGACATCATAAAACACAGCCCAAGCTACGAAGGGGAGGGTGATCGAACACCTAAAACCCCCTCATATTCTCTTCTTTTAATGACCATATTTCACAGCCATACAGTAAAACAGAGCGAACTGCAGCACACTAACCTCGACCCTTCCTCGACAACCAGATATCATGACGACGCCACAGATGGCATGAGATGCCAAAAGCTGATAATGTTTTGTATGTGTGCAGAGACTTCGTCAATTACTGACCCACGGCGTCGGTCCCTTGCCAGCTAAGTGAGGTGGTAAAAGGGCTGAAGCAGTCATCGGCGAAAATTAGTCCCGGATCAAAATTTAGCATTCGGGTAGTGAGAAACACATCTTAAACATTTTCAAATTGCCACTCAAGGTGCTAAGAAGACTCAGTATCTTCACCTAATCAGATTATGTCATCTGAGTACTCCAGATATAGTAATGATTCTCCCGCGAAGTCAGAAGAGGAGAGTACCTCTACGATAAAACTAAATAGGAGTAAAGAGAGGGGATATCCATAACGGACAACGCTCCACGTAAACAAGTGACCTGACATTTCACCATAAGTTCTAGGAAATCCACAAGTTTTTGAATAAACAGCCTTCAGCAAAGAGATGTACCTACTTATCACCTTTTCTAGTGAGACACTTTCATGTTTAAAAAATAGCTAGTGTCGGGCGTCGGCAAGTGTGCCTGTGTTTCAGAAGCAGGCAATAGGTTAGTATACTTCAAGACTAGGTCCGAAATCTGCCTGATCCTCTGAGGTTTGTTATTCCCGAGTCCTACTTAGAAATCCCGTTATTATAGAACCTATGTTCATTAGGCTGATTCGCCCTTCCGCGAAAACTGGAACAATCAGTTATTGAAACCAGTCACAGGGGGTAATATCTGATCCCCACACTCTAGCTAACACGCTAGTTAATTCAACTAATAACCCTCTCCCATCGTTCTTGAAAACCTCTTACCCCATAAACTTGCTATGTGAATAGCTGGTTCACGAATTCATGGCCTGAAACCTGCTTTTACTTGTAAGTTTTCAGCCTGATAATCATAACTCAAGAATGAGAATAAATGCGTTACGTTTTTTCTACGTAGTTGTATTTTTTATCTACTACAGGTTGTAGAAACTACTGAAGCATTTGACGATTAGTTTTAAGTTAGAGCACAAGTCAGATAGACAAACTCAACGCAAAACCTCGCACATATGTGCATTACCTGAAGTTGCCGCACTTCACACTAACATACAAAGAACAAGTGGATAGAAAGACAGTCATATCAAAGCAGAAAAAGTTACGTAAAACAGTAAACAGTTTGAAGATAACGGATAGTGAAAACATTCAAGCTTTAGAAGACATCAATGAGTGAATACATCTGTGCCATTAGTCACCGATTCCAGCCTTGTCAGCAAGAGTGTGCCGCAACCATTGGTTTCTACGATCTCGGGGAACCCAGCCAGACAACCTACATCTCCTAACATAGCTCGGATCAACAGTCAAAAGACTTCATTGACTAGAGCCAAAGTGTTCCACATCAAATGATAATGTATTCTTCAATAGAGACAATATTAGAATCATCGACTGCAATCATACATCATTTATCACCCCAAAATTTCTTACAATTTCCGGAAGGTCAACAATACAATAAGCATCCACTGGGAATATAAGTAGCTTTCTGTTTTGCAAACCACTGATTATCCACAGTAATTGGTTCATATTAATTTATACAGTATGGCTACCGTAAGTCATATCATATAGCTTATCTTCAACCTTTAAACAGAAAAGACATCTACCTCCATCTACAATATGATCCGTGCATGCACCATGCATCAGTGTTGCACCAAGAGAATAGTTCGGCTCAGCTGCTCATCTTGCTAATGACTGGAGTTGTGGCTCGTCGGTTTAGGCAGTTGACTTTCAATCAGTGAGTTGCGGGTCTCAACACCGCTCCATCTACTGAGGTTTTGGGCAATCAGGTAATATTATTAGCTCTCGTACACGAGTGTGCATCGGGTTTCTGAGTGGATTCCAAATATACATATAATTCTGACAAAGTATAATGACACATATGTACAGTAGGTAAGAATTTACACTGAGGAATCAGAGCTTGCATAACAACCCACTGTCCGAAAACACGTACGTATGCTAAGAGTGCACGATACATACAAGCAGGCAACAATAAGAGTCAAGAGACAAAGTAAACGAGTTGATTGACTAACTTGAATTAGGATCAGCAAACCCCATAACTGTAACATATAACCAAAATTCTCTGAACAATTTCAGCAGACGCTGGTTAGGATTTTGTATTGGTGGTAAACGTCTTAAAATCTGAATACAGAGGTAGAACAGAAAAACAATATTATGTACATAAATGTATTCAAAAGAAGTTAAAAAGGGAAAAAAGATCTGCAAGCAGTTCGCATCACAGACTGACATCAGATGGAGAGATATGGAACCCCTGGGGGTGTGGATATGATTTCACGTGATAGACGTGTTTTCACCTCCCCAAATCGGACAAATGAACTATCAACTCCTCGCGGGTTTTCAGTAGTTCTTCGACTAATGTACATCTACAGAATAGTTTTCCTGTTTCATTGATGCATGATCACTACCTCCAACGTGAATTTATAATGCACTAGGAAGACAGACAGACACAGACAGAAAACGTCAGTGAGTGGAATCTCGCACAAAAGTGCTGCTATGGTATAAGTTGCAACACTTTACAGCTGCATGCAAGAAACAAGTGAGCAGAGGAAAGGTGATACAAAGTTATAGGAAAGTGTTTGGTAGGAGAAAAAATTCCTATCATCACGAGAATGGGTCTAAGTTTAACAGAATAAATTACAAGAGAAATACGAAGTCAGTACACAACTACTAGTATGTTCACAATTCAGTCAACTGATAATACATTAATATCAACATTCAACGTTACCAGTTGTCACCTTCTAAACATCCCAGACGTAGAAGGTAGCAATCTAGTATTCGAAGCTGAGTAGTAAGTTGTCGGTTAGAAGTTAACGGAATAGTGGAGAACTTGGGCACTATGGTCGAGTGTAATTCCATTTTAGTCTGTTTATTAGAAATATCACACAGTGAAACAGTAGCATTTACTGGATAACGTTTCGGACATAATTTATTGTCCATATTCATTCATATCAGGTAACTCCACAACTTCGAGACAGTCTTTATATATTCCTAGTTTTCTCTCCCTCTCTGTGATGATAAGGGTAGTAGAATTTTCCATAAATCTGGGACAGATGCAGCATCATTTCGATTGCATGTGTTTAGTGTTGATTTGATAAACAAAGATTCTGTTATCAATCTCTCCCTCCACCCAACTAAGTTAGTTTTCAAAACTGTCACCCTATCCCACCCTACTGTGTAATTGTGTGTTATCGCATGCAGAGCTATAGCCGAGCTTTTCTCAAGACTTTTTATCTTATTAGGATCTACTAATCCTGATTTAGATAAGTTTTTGTGCTCTGTTATTCTAATCGACACTGGTCGACTGCTTTGACCTATGTACTTGACCTCGCAATCATTGCAAGGGATCTGGTAAACCAGATTATTTTGCTTAATTGCATCGATAGGATCTTTTAACCTACAAAGCTTGTTTCTAAGTGAGTTTGTTGGTTTCAATGCCACTTTAATCCCAGCCTTATTGAGAATTCTTCGTAGTGCTTCTGAGGTGCCTTCCTTGTATGGTAACACAGTAGAGGCTTTGAATTCTCTCTTAACCCTGTCGCTATTATTACCATTAGTCGTGGGATTATTGTTAACAGCACCAGTATTACTACTACTACAATTGCTAATATTTTTATTTCGATTTCTGATGAATTTATTTATGAATTTTGGTGGGTAATTATTGAGACGTAGGGTATTCTTGATGTGTCCAATTTCTTGTCGCAGATTTCCCGATCTACTAGTAAGCTTTTTCGCTCTACCACTTAAGCATTAAACTAAGCCTACTTTAACTGAAATGGGATGGGAAGATTCGAAGTGTAAGTAGTGATTCGAATGGGTAGGTTTCCCATAGACACTAGTCTCTAGATTTCCTTCTTGTGTTGATTTAATATCGCAATCCAACATTGCTAGCTCACCTTCTTCACTTTCTAAGTCACAGGTAAATTGGACTGCATTTACTACTGAATTTATATGTGCCAAGAACCTGTTGATGTGTTCCGATTTCAGTACTGTAAACGTATCATCTACATATCAAAACCAAATCTTTGGAGTAGGACTAAATGTTTGAAGGGCTACCTGTTCCCAACTATCCATAAATATGTCAAACCAACAAACTCACTTAGAAACAAGCTTTGTAGGTTAAAAGATCCTATCGATGCAATTAAGCAAAATAATCTGGTTTACCAGATCCCTTGCAATGATTGCGAGGTCAAGTACATAGGTCAAAGCAGTCGACCAGTGTCGATTAGAATAACAGAGCACAAAAACTTGGCTAAATCAAGATCAGTAGATCCTAATAAGATAAGAAATCTAGAGAAAAACTCGGTTATAGCTCTGCATGCGATAACACACAATTACACAGTAGGGTGGGATAGGGTGACAGTTTTGAAAACTAACTTAGTTGGGTGGAGGGAGAGATTGATAACCGAATCTTTGTTTATCAAATCAACACTAAACACATGCAATCGAAATGATGCTGCATCTGTCCCAGATTTATGGAAAATTCTACTACCCTTATCATCACAGAGAGGGAGAGAAAACTAGGAATATATAAAGACTGTCTCGAAGTTGTGGAGTTACCTGATATGAATGAATATGGACAATAAATTATGTCCGAAACGTTATCCAGTAAATGCTACTGTTTCACTGTGTGATATTTCTAATAAACAGACTAAAATGAAATAGTGGAGAATATTTGTAGCTCAGGTCAATGGTCTTCTTTGCATTGTGTTCTCTGAGCTGGGTTGTTTAATCGTGAAGCTTTCATCGTCCTTCTAGACGACATCATCAGCAATAACTTCAGTATGAAGTGAGCTGTCAATCTCTCTGTGAGTGTTCTAGTAGCTTGCCTTGACGAAGCGGTCTATGATTGGTTGTTTCCTTTGATTGTTGTGTAATTCACTGTATAGATTTTCCTGTTGGTTGTCCCTCTGCTTGACCTCTGATCTTCCTGTCGTTTATCTTTTTTTTTTATTGGTTGATAGATCGGGTCTGTGTCTATACATCTGTTGATTGCTGACTGACTGACCTGAATGCCAAGATTCTAGGAATTCTCTGACATTCTTTGTATTTCTTCTGTCCAAAATTTCTATATTGTCGAAATTGAATTCATGTCCATAATTATCCACATGCATTGATATGAGTGATGAAATGTCGTGGCGTTTAATAGCCAGTTGATACTCATGTAGACGAAGGCGAAGAGGGCGGCCACTTTGTCCAATATAGTGTTGACTACAGTTATTGCAGTAGTTTTTTAAATGATATTCGGTTTGTCTTCTTTGGTTGTTGCATCCTATGGTCTGCATAATAGTGTTTGAATGGAATCTGTTGGTTTATGAGCCACTCAATTCCAAATAGTTTCAGTAATCTTGTGGTGATTTCTGATATATTCTTTATATTTGGTACGATGATGTGTTTATTGATTTTTGTCGACGACTTTGTAGTTGGCGATGTACGGGATAGGCATCTTCTGATAAAGTTTCGTGGATAGCCGTTCTTCTTTAGAATGGACATCAAGTGATTTTCTTCGTTTCTCCTTTAAGTTGTTGTACTGCAGTGTGTTCTTGCTACTGTAGTTACAGGACTTGGTCAGTGTGTGTTAGCTTCCTGTACACTTGGGTTTCCATCTTTCCCATATTTGTTCGATTGACTAGAACTACCAGGAATGTTAGTTGGTTGTTTGACTCCTTCTCCATTGTGAATTTGATGTCATTGAAAACGTTGTTGATCAAATTGTGGGTGCTTTCCATATCATCTTTTTCAATGATGACAAAAGTGTCGTCCACATAGCGAATCCAGAATTTTTGTTTGATTACAGGTAGGATGATGGCTTCCAGTCTCTGCACCACTGCTTCTGCAATTAGTCCGGATATCGGTGATCCCACTGGAGTTCCTTTCATCTGTTTGTATATCTTGCCATTGAATTGGAAGTATGTTGTCAGACAAACGCCGATGAGTTCCATCAAACCTGAATATTTAGGTTTTGCGCGCTCTGTAAGGCTTGTGTCTTTATTAAGCAGAAGAGACGTAGTTTCCTTGGCCAATTGAGGTTCGATGCATGTGTATAGTGCTGTGACATCGAACGATACCATTAGTTCATCGTTTTCTATGTTAATGTTTCTGATCTTTTCTAAGAATTCCGTTGGTGATTTGATGGAATGTCCGCATGATTGGACGAGGTGTTTCAGTTTTCTCGAAGGTTGTATGTTGGAGTTGCTGGAAGTGAGGCATTTGGTCGAAGATGGATGTTTGGTTTGTGTGTATCGTATGGAAAGACGATGACAGCTTCACGATTAAACAACCCAGTACAGAGAACACAAGACAGCAAACAACTTAACGCCTTATCAAAACACCTGCTAAGGAGTTTAAATGAGAAACGAGACAACCAGTTCATGCATTTAAAGTAATAAGGATGAGAATGTCTGATGAATGATTGACTGAATGGAAAAATCAACGTAGAACCCCACTTACAAGTGCATCAACTCAAGTCCCCAAACTTCACATTAATATACAAACAACAGGCGGATAGAGAGCGATATCAAGGTAGATAAAGTTGTGTGACAGAACAAACAACCTCCAGGTGACAGTAAGTGCAAATATTCAAGCTTCCCATGTTACGAACTAAACACGTTTACACCACTATGACCGACTTTCAGCCATATCACCAACAGTCCTCAACCACTGATCCCTTTAGTCTCGGGAACCCAGCCAGGTAGTTTACATATCCCCATATGGCTCAGACCAACAGTTTGACACTTTGCGAACTAGTGCTACTTCTTAGTTTGAACACCCTGAACGCAATCAATCATTATCAACATAGGACCAGGCATTACTGCGTAACGGTCTGAGTTGCCACACCTCACGTCAGTACATCAAGCAGAAAGGTAGTGACGTGAAGGGTGAAGATAAGAGGATGCAGTCAAAAGAAATATAAAGTACGAGAAGAAAGGAAAGAGGAGTGACAAAATGGTGAGATTCGGCATAGTGTCGTTAAGATGAGGATAATGTGTGTATACATCTGCTCCATTGACATCGGTTCTCAGCCATGGCATCACCTTGAGTCTCCAACCACTGGTTCCTCTTGTCCCGCCGACCCCAACCACCTAGTCTGCATACACCCACATGGCTCAAACAAACAGCCAGAAACTTCATACATTGATACCATGTTTTAGTCTGGCCACCTCGGGCCTTTTTCCAGCCTGGACCCACCTCAGCCAACATTGTGTGACGAGGCAATCGGTGACTGGGCATATGTAGTATGTGTCCCAACCATCTCAGTCGATGAAGGTTCACAACCGTGTCAACTGATTTACCTCTTCTCCCTAAAACTCTACACCTGACTTCTGCACTCCTCATATGGCGACACCATGGAATATGCCCTATACTACGAAGGCAACGGTGGTCAAACATCTGAAGCCTTTTCATATCTTCCACTTTCAATGGCCATGTTTCACAGCCATACAGTAGAACAGAGCGGAATGCTGTGCAGTACACGCGACCCTTAATAGACAAACGGATATCACGGTGGCGCAAATTGGCAAAAGCCAATCGAGCCTTTTGTATCTGTGCAGAGATTTCATCGGCAACTAACCCACCAGGGCTGATCCTACTTCCCAGGTAAGCAAAGTGGTCAACACACTCAACCACTTCACTCCTTATTGTTAGCGACGGTGGGGCACCGTTGAAGACCAATCCTGGAGCAGCGATTTGCATTTGGATGGTGAGAAACGCATCCCAAACATTCTTAAATTCCCACTCAAAGTGTTCAGAAGACTCTGCATCTTGTCAGCGTCTTCACCTAACAGGACTATGTCATCTGCATACTCTAGATCTAACGAAAAATCACCTGTGATTGGGTCAACGCCTGTGTAATTAGGTGACGAGAGGGAAACCTCCATAAGTATATCTATGATAAAATTAAATAAGAATGGAGATAGTGGACACCCTTGACGGATACCACTTGATGAGTATGGCTCCCTGGACAATTCGCCATAGGCTCTAACATGCCCACAAGTGTTCGAGTAGAGAGCTTTCAATAAGGTAATGTACTTACTATGCCCGCGACTGAAGCACGACAGTCCCTGTTTGTGCAACGAATAAAAGTTATTATTATTTACTGTCGTTTGAAGTGATGGGTGTGGGATTCGATTCTACGTGGGAATAACATCACTCACTGAGGTGCACGTATACCCAGGTGAAAAGTCTCAAAAAAAAGAAACGCACGTCCTGGATTCCACTGATAACTACCAAGTAAATTATAAGAAATAACAATAATCTTACAATAGTCGCAAAAACAAGAAACTAAAAAATCTCCATTGAGTTGGGCACTAAAATAAGCTTTTATTCGAAAAAATGAAAGGATTACAAGCAACACAACTTACAATTGCTATCACAGGAATCAGTTGTCCGAGACAGTGAGCTGCAGTTGTCTGTTTGATCAAAATGAATTAAATTGAAAAAGGAAATTATAATTGCACACACAGATGGAGACAAAAATAACATGTATGAAATAAACATCAAAACGGAAACGGTGGAGAATTGAAAATTTCTTTTCTTGATAACACAGTGGAAACCTGTCTTGAGACTCTCCCCATACTCTCTCTCTCACTCATCCACACACACATAGAGAGAGAGAATTCCTGAGGCACATTGGCAGACTGTAATCCGACTTTAGCTTCCTTACCAAATGTATCACATAACGGAATACAGAAGGACAGTTTAGCATTTGTCAACTTGCGTCACCTGTGGCATCCAATGCTTAGATATCCAATTATCTATCAAAGTACGAGTATACTGCGCTGTAGCCCATCCTGTCCTGCTGTATGGCTGTGAGACATGACATGACATAGCTCGCGTTTGGTAAAATCACTGTGTAAGCAATGGTGAAGTTAGGCGAAGGCAAGACAGCCAAGTCGATTGATGAGGTTGTGAACCTAAGTCGACTAAAATGGCTTGGACATTTACTACACATGCCGAGCCACTATCTACCTCGATGTGCCATGCAAGGGAAGGTTGGATTAGGTTGGAAGAGCGATCAGGGTGTCGTATGGCAATGTCTTTCGCTGAAAGGCATCCCGAGTAAGTACATCACCTTATTGAAAGCTCTCTACTCGAACACTTGTGGGCATGTTAGAGCCTATGGCGAATTGTCCAGGGAGCCATACTCATCAAGTGGTATCCGTCAAGGGTGTCCACTATCTCCATTCTTATTTAATTTTATCATAGATATACTTATGGAGGTTTCCCTCTCGTCACCTAATTACACAGGCGTTGACCCAATCACAGGTGATTTTTCGTTAGATCTAGAGTATGCAGATGACATAGTCCTGTTAGGTGAAGACGCTGACAAGATGCAGAGTCTTCTGAACACTTTGAGTGGGAATTTAAGAATGTTTGGGATGCGTTTCTCACCATCCAAATGCAAATCGCTGCTCCAGGATTGGTCTTCAACGGTGCCCCACCGTCGCTAACAATAAGGAGTGAAGTGGTTGAGTGTGTTGACCACTTTGCTTACCTGGGAAGTAGGATCAGCCCTGGTGGGTTAGTTGCCGATGAAATCTCTGCACAGATACAAAAGGCTCGATTGGCTTTTGCCAATTTGCGCCACCGTGATATCCGTTTGTCTATTAAGGGTCGCGTGTACTGCACAGCATTCCGCTCTGTTCTACTGTATGGCTGTGAAACATGGCCATTGAAAGTGGAAGATATGAAAAGGCTTCAGATGTTTGACCACCGTTGCCTTCGTAGTATAGGGCATATTCCATGGTGTCGCCATATGAGGAGTGCAGAAGTCAGGTGTAGAGTTTTAGGGAGAAGAGGTAAATCAGTTGACACGGTTGTGAACCTTCATCGACTGAGATGGTTGGGACACATACTACATATGCCCAGTCACCGATTGCCTCGTCACACAATGTTGGCTGAGGTGGGTCCAGGCTGGAAAAAGGCCCGAGGTGGCCAGACTAAAACATGGTATCAATGTATGAAGTTTCTGGCTGTTTGTTTGAGCCATGTGGGTGTATGCAGACTAGGTGGTTGGGGTCGGCGGGACAAGAGGAACCAGTGGTTGGAGACTCAAGGTGATGCCATGGCTGAGAACCGATGTCAATGGAGCAGATGTATACACACATTATCCTCATCTTAACGACACTATGCCGAATCTCACCATTTTGTCACTCCTCTTTCCTTTCTTCTCGTACTTTATATTTCTTTTGACTGCATCCTCTTATCTTCACCCTTCACGTCACTACCTTTCTGCTTGATGTACTGACGTGAGGTGTGGCAACTCAGACCGTTACGCAGTAATGCCTGGTCCTATGTTGATAATGATTGATTGCGTTCAGGGTGTTCAAACTAAGAAGTAGCACTAGTTCGCAAAGTGTCAAACTGTTGGTCTGAGCCATATGGGGATATGTAGACTACCTGGCTGGGTTCCCGAGACTAAAGGGATCAGTGGTTGAGGACTGTTGGTGATATGGCTGAAAATCGGTCACAATGGAGGCGATGTATTCGTCATGTTGAATGCTTTCATCGATTTTTATCTGGGACTTGTTTTTTCTTTGCATACCCTTTCGCCTACTTTGATACTAGTCTTCCCATCCACTTTTTCTTCGCATGCTAATGTGAAGTGCAACAAACTGTTAACTGATGCATCCATGTGCGAGGTTCTACGTTGACTTTCTCTGTCTGCTTGACTCTGTGGAAAAAGTAATATTTACTGCATGACTTTATTTTCCATAGTCGTAGCAAGGCAACTCCACAACTTTGAGGCATGCTATACACAGATTTCCGTCTCCTAAATCCTCCTGTCACAAACTAAAGCGTTCAGAGAAGTATGACAATTTTTTGTGGAAAACGAGTATATGGTTTCAACATAAATTTGTGCCTGTCTGTTGGTCAAAGCATGGATCGCCTACCAGACTGCTGTGTTCTCTTGAAAAGATCACTACGAAAAATCCAGTTTATCCCAGTGGTATTGGGGTCCAACTAAGTGACAGTTGATAAACACAGAGATATATATACTTCATTAAACTAAGTCTATAGCTTCGACACACAACACGATGGTGCATTTCTTGTAAAAGCTTACGTGAAACCACTTGACATAATGTAAATGTGGAGGACGCAGTTATCGAAAAGTCATCAGTCAGTTGATGATAGCAGCTACAGTGATAGCTCAGTATCTAGCTTCAAAAGACCTCATGTCTTCGTAAATAGTCCCAAACTGGAGACAATCAACCTAAGGAATATTACAATATAAGCAAGGTGATCAGAGAGACCTAAGGTTCAGTAGTGGGGAAGCCTGTTCGCACTACCGATGTTGTGTTTCTGAAATCCAAATAGAGGCTCCAGGTGTGGTTATTCTCTTGACCTCACCTGGCCAATGTATTAAATCCTCAAAATTGACTGTACGAGTGTCCGAAGATTCAATGGCTAGCTCTCATGTATTCACTGGTGTAGGTATCGCTTAAAATTGCAAGGTAGAAGGTGAGTATCTCGACTAAATACCACTCAGCAGACGTCTGTGTGCTGTCCGACTGAATGCAACTGTAATAGCTAGGAAGGGTGATGACACTCCCACCTATCTTTTCGTAATCTCCACCTGTGCGCCCGAAAACTGTCTTACAGACGAATTCTGTGAGGAGCTAACAATTTCGGTACAGAAAATAAAAGATTTAGACATATTCGTGATAGTAGGTGACTTGGACGCTCAAGTAGGGGGAATCAGTTAATCGGAAGGGTATCTTCGAAGTATCCATACCAACAAAGAACAACTGTGATTGTTTCTTGCAAATTTGTTCCGACAATCGCTTGCTTTTGGCCAGCACTAACTTCAACCATAAGCAGAGACAATTTCGCTTGGCGCCAATCGAAATCAAACCAACAGAGGACATAGATCATTTTGCTATAAACTACTGCTGTAAGGGATTGATGAAAGATTCCCGCTCTTTTTGGAGTACGTGTTTGGAATCCAGTAACGTATTAGTACGGGCATGTGTATTTTTGTGCTAATAATACCCGCAAGAAACACAGTAGCCAAACCTGTGTGCTCGACTGGAAGATGAAAACACCAGCTATGATTTTAAGAGGTACTTCAGCATTTATCTGGATATGGCAACAATCCACTTCGTACTGAAACCTGATGTAATACTACGTCTGCTGTAGAAACAGCGGCAAATACATTTAATAACCTACACACAGAATGGTAAAGACTAGTGGATTCGTGAAACCTCATCCAAAATGATTAGTATGAGGAGACTCAATCCAAAAGGCAGACAGCTGGAATGTTGGGTAGAACACTTTGAAGCACAATTAAACTAGCCCATATCAAGGCTTTAGTTGGCCAGCATCTTGTCCTAACCTGAATGGGATGTAGATGTTGGTCTTCCACTTCTCCTCGAAGGTGACGAAACAGTCTCTGACCTGAAACAATTCGAAGTAGCAAGAACTGACAGTTTGCCGCTAGAACGTCTTAAGAATGGATGTAGGAAATCACAGTAACGAAGGTGCTAGGTAGTGTATGGGAATCAGAGGCTGTCCTATTGGATTGGCCTACTTCACTGAACGTTCTCATTTAGAAAAAGAAAACGATCTTCCTGTGTCCAAAATATTAGAATTTATAGTTATCCAACACGAAGCTGGAGCTCAAGGATAGCAAACTCCAGATAATAAGGCATGGACAAGGGTCCATCGATCACATTTTCACCCTCCGACAAGTTCTGGAACACAGGCTTACTTACCGGTGGCCTACACTTACCATATTTCTTAACTTGAAGGCATCATTTGGCTCTATCTATCGGGAGGTAATGTGGCAATGCCTGGCTGTGAAGAAAGAACCAAGTGGGTATGTTATGAATAGTCAAGGCTGTCTACTCGAACTCATGAAGCTGTGTAAAAGCTAAAGGGCAGTTTTTCTGAGGTATCTGACAGGAATGTCCGCTATCACTGTCTCGGTTTATATTGGTCATAGACCTCCGACGTTATAGGGACTGACCAACTCCCTGAAGGTCACCTGGTTGACTTGTATTACACAGACAACACTATCCTGTAAGGCGAAGAAGCTGACAAGATGCAGTTTTCGGATGACTACTTCACTTACTTGTGAGACGGCATCAGCACAAATGGATTGATTGCCGACATAACCCCAGCTCAGATACAGGCGGTCCATCTAGCATTTGCCGATCTGCATTATCTCTGGTGCCGGCAAACTACCCGACTACCCATTAAAAGACAAACATACTGCACTGCAGTCTAATGTATTCTGTTACACAGCTTTGAAGCATGGTCGATGAAATTGGATATAAAATGATGACAGGTTTTTGACCGCAGATGTCTTTGTAGCACTCCTCAGATAAGATGGAATCACCGTTTAGGTTATATCGAGGTTAGGCGAAGGCAAGTCGGTCGTTGGGGTTGTGAACCTTCACCCACTAAGGTGGCTTGGAAATTAGTTATGCATGTCAACTCACTGCCTACCTCAACATATATTGTAGGATGAAATATGACTTTGCTGCAGTAAGGCTTAGAATGGCCACGCCAAGATATAGCTACAATCCAATTAGACAAGAGCCACTTAGGCAGATGAAGACCGCTTGGTCGAGGTCCTCAAGACTATAAGAATCAAACCTCTGTACGTTCGACTGGAATATGTAAACCATAGTTTTGTATTTTAATAAGAGATAACTAAATATTTACTTGGATATGACACTTGGTGGAGCATTAGGTCTGCTGTAAAAAAAACGATGAAGACATTTAACAATTAATAATTTCTGTGAATAGATTTAATGAATATTTTCAAACTTAGAAATGTCACACGTTCAATGATTAAAAAAAAACCGGCGAAACAAGAGAACAGAAACAGAAATTTACATGTGAACTATTCTTCGAGTCTTGATCGATTTCCATATCAACATGCACATAATGTTCTAGCAGACGATGTAGTAACTTTTTCAATTTTGCTTGACCTTGAACAAACGTTGATATATTTGCGAACACATTGATAATAGCCTCTGATAAATGCCTATACAGAAAGATAAGATGTATATGAATGGGAAGATGAATAATTCGCATAAAAAGAATAGAAAAAGTAAGAGTGAGCATGATGAATTCGTCATATCCGCTAACTCTGCTTTATTTTGATGTTGAAGGTATTAAATTAAGAGTAGTGTCAAGCTTATATATATATATATATATATATATATATATATATTAGTCCCTTGGGTTCCTAATGAAATATAGGGCTTCAGTAGCACGTCTTCCATGCGCTCTGTTCTCTGAAATCTTTTGAACCTGGTCCCACGACAGCTCACAAGCTCTCATTTCCTCCTCGCACGACCTCCTCCATGTCACCCTCGGACGTCCAACTCGTCGCTCCCCATCGGCGTTCCACTCGAGGGTCTAACGCGTGATGTCCCCAGCCGGCCTTCTCAGTGTATGCCCAATCCATCCATCTCCACTTCCTTCTGTATATTTGTTGAGTGATAGTTTCTTGGTTGGTTCGTTCCCAGAGTTCCTTGTTGCTTATTCTTTCTGGCCATCTGATCTTCAGCAGCGAGCGTAAGCAGTTGTTGATGAATGTCTGTAGTTTATTGGAAAGCCCTTTCGTGACGCGCCAAGTCTCTGAGCCATACAAGAGCACTGACTTGACGTTGGTGTTGAAAATCCGTATCTTGTTCCGCATGCTGAGTGTAGAAGATCTCCACAGTGGTTTCAGGCTAATTAACGCCTGTCTTGCTTTTCCGATTCTGACTTTGACATCCTCTTCTGTGTCGCCTGTAGTTGAAACAGTGCTTCCTAGATAGGTGAAGGAGGCTACTTTCTCTAAGTTTCTCCCATTGATGGTGATTGGAGTTTGTTGTTGTTGGTGGTGCGGTATTATCATTACCTCTGTCTTCTCTATATTCACCTGAAGTCCCGTCTTCGCTGCCTCTTCTATCAACTTGTTAGTTTTCGCCTGTAGATTTTCAAGTTTGTGTGACATCAGACACAAGTCATCGGCGAAATCCAAGTCTTCTAGGTTCTTTTCCGTCGTCCAGTGTATCCCCCTCTTCTCGCTCCCCACTATTTGTTGCATGATCCAGTCGACCACAATCAGGAATATCATGGGGGATAGTAGGCAACCTTGTTTCACTCCTGTCTTCATATATATATATATATATATATATATATATATATATATATATATATATATATATATATATATATATATATATATATATATATATATATATATATATATATATATATATATATATAGTGATAATGAAACATTTAAACGTTGACAAGGTTCACTTGCTGACTACACAAACAATGCTACTGTTGCGTGACAGTGCATAAGTAACCGTTAACTAGGCTACGGTTGATTGGTGCAAGCTACCAGCTGTCAACATTTGAGTGGTGAGTTTAGGATGAATCAAATACACTCCAATTTAACAATACTCAGGCAGTATCAAGACATCCGCAAAGCAGCCCATCTCTTTCAGAAGTCAAACATTTCAAATCGTAATATGAGGTTTGCAGTCATAAAAATGTCACTTAATAACATTTAAGTGCTATGTTATCCTTCACAGTTTCTAATGCATGACAGCGACTAGTGATGATAAGACGGAAGGCAGATGTAATAAGTTGGTCATCAAACACACGGCTTCCTAAGGCTGTGTTATTACAATAAAGCTAGAAAATACCTTGAATCATTTTTGTTTTTATCGGCAAAACACGATGGATCCATCGAATGCATATATAAGGAGGTGTGATACTGAACAACTCAGAAACCAGCTGTTGGAGACTTTGAGTGACATGGTTCAGAATCAATTTCAATGGTGCAAGTGTATCAACTCACTATCCCCACTTTAGTCGCCATACTGAATTGATTGCTGATTCATATGCTATTTGAGGTGTGGCAACTTGGACCGTAACACAGTAATGCCTGGTCCCATGTCGATATTGATGATTATGACCAAACAACTGTGAATAGCTTAATGTATACGATTTGATAAATCTCAAATGAAAAGCACCTATGAAAGACAATATTCGACAACAACTAAATAAAGGAGAGTGAGCTTTATGAATGGCAAAATCAGTACGTTTATACAGCAATAACAGTCAACTGATCATCCTGTCACTCTACCACTGAAACACAAATGAAAAAACACCGAACGAATAGTGTATATCGATAATGGTCATAAATCCCTTAATATTTTCGAATAGTCATCACTATATGAAATTAGCGACAACCTCGCCTGGTTAACTAGTTTACTAGTTACTAGCCGGTCCTAAGCCCGGGTAAAGAGGGAAGGTTGGGCATACGGCTAGCAACCCTACCCCGTAAAACAAATCTAACCGCTAAACAAACTTCAAAGCACAAACAAAATATAAAAAATGAAAACAAACTTATTCCCCGCTGGAATCGGAGAGGCGAAATGACGCCAGTTGGCGAAAGCCTGGCTTCGGGAAGCCAATTGGTCCATGTGTCTGTGCTTCTCTCGATGAAAGCGAAAGTAAACGTGGGGACATGCAATGTCCGCACCATGTTTGAACCCAGCAAGGCAGCCCAGATTGCAAACGAGATGAGAAGGTATAACATCGAAGTGCTTGGGATTTGCGAAAGCAGATGGAATGGGAGTGGACTCTCCAAACTGTCAACTGGAGAATCAATAATCTACTCCGACATTGTCACACAGACGACAACCACGAGCACACTGAGGGAGTGGCTATCATGATGTCCTCAAGAGTATCGAAGGCTCTCATGCAGTGGGAACCAATCTCCTCCAGGATCATGACAGCAAGATTCAACTCAAAAGGAAGAAAGGTCACAATCATACAATGCAACGCTATGCACCTACAAATAATGCAGAGCAAGAGAAGGAGGATTTCTACAGACAACTTCAATCAACACTGGACAAGGCACCACCTCAGTTGGCGATATCAAAATTCTAATGGGCGACATGAATGCCAAACTGGGAGGGGACAACACGGGAAGAGAACTAACCATGGGTCAAGAGGCGCTAGGTGAAATGAATGAGAATGGAGAATTGTTTGCAGAATTCTGTGCATTCAACGATTTGGTGATTGGAGGCAGTGTGTTCAGGCACAAAGATATCCACAAAGCGACATGGATTTCACCAGATGGACACACTAAAAATCAAATCGACTTTATCTCAATCTCAAGAAAATGGAGACGCAGTCTACTTAACACAAGGTCAAGAAGAGGAGCAGATGTAGGTTCAGACCACTACCTAGTGCAAGGAACCTAACTTGCAAATCAAGTTAAAAGCCTTCAAGGAAGCTGGTGATAGACCTCAATTCAAGTACAACACTCGGAAACTGAAGGATGAAACTACAAAGGAGATCTTCAAGGCAGCCATCAAGACAAAATGGGAGACATCGAGCAACATCCCTGAAGAAACCTGTGTGGAAGAACACTGGAAGTCTTTGAAAGCTATGTGGAAAGAAACCTGCACAACAGTATTAGGAAGTAAGAAGGTGGAAGACAAGGAATGGATCTCGATGGATACCTGGGAGCTGATAGAGGAGAGGAGGATGGTGAAGCAGAAGATAAACCAGTGCAAGGATGCTCAACGACAAGAGGAACTGAGCACAATGTATAAAACACTGGACAAAGAAGTGAAGAAGAGTGCACGCAAAGACAAAAGACACTTCTACGAAACACTGGCAAGTGAAGCAGAACAGGCTGCAGATAAGAGAGACCTGACGACATTGTATCAAATAACCAGGTTGCTATCAGGGAAGAGACCAACACAGATGAAACCAATAAAAGATGAAGAAGGAAATTTAATTACAAAAGAAGAGAAACAGAGGAAACGATGGGCCGACCACTTCAAGAAGCTCTTGAATCGACCACCACCACCACCTGCACTTCGTCCACAAATACCACCTGCAGCCGCTGAATTACAAGTGAACATAAATCCTCCAACAAAAATGGAAGTCCTGAACGCCATAAAGCTACTGAAATGCGGGAAAGCAGCAGGACCAGATGGAATACCACCAGAAGCACTGAGAACAGATGCAGAGACAACAGCGGACATGCTCACACCACACCACTATTGCAGAAGGTGTGGAAGGAAGAGAAGGTACCTGACGATTGGAAGAAGGGTTACCTTGTCAAACTGCCGAAGAAGGGAGACCTCAGTGCTTGCAAGAACTGGCGTGCAATCACTCTCCTGTCCACCCCAAGTAAAATATTAAGCCGCATCATCCTAGAGAGGCTTAAAGATGCACTGGATTCAAAACTACGACCGGAACAGGCAGGCTTCAGGAAGTACAAATCATGTGCAGACCAAATTGCAACGCTTCGTATCATCATAGAACAGAGCATAGAATGGCAATCAGCTCTCTACCTCAACTTCATCGACTTTGAGAAGGCCTTTGACAGCGTCCACCGAGAAGTAATTTGGAAACTGCTTCAATACTACGGAGTACCGCAAACCTTTATCCGCCTCATTCAACAACTATATGAAGATGCCACATACCAGACAAGTAATTCACAATGGGAAGCTCAGTGATGCCACTGAAGTGAAGTGAAGACAGGAGTGAAACAAGGTTGCCTACTATCCCCCATGATATTCCTGATTGTGGTCGACTGGATCATGCAGCAAACAGTAGGCAGCGGGAAGAGGGGGATACACTGGACGACGGAAAAGAACCTAGAAGACTTGGATTTCGCCGATGACTTGTGTCTGATGTCACACAAACTTGAAAATCTACAGGCGAAAACTAACAAGTTGATAGAAGAGGCAGCGAAGACGGGACTTCAGGTGAATATAGAGAAGACAGAGGTAATGATAATACCGCACCACCAACAACAACAAACTCCAATCACCATCAATGGGAGAAACTTAGAGAAAGTAGCCTCCTTCACCTATCTAGGAAGCACTGTTTCAACTACAGGCGGCACAGAAGAGGATGTCAAAGTCAGAATCGGAAAAGCAAGACAGGCGTTAATTAGCCTGAAACCACTGTGGAGATCTTCTACACTCAGCATGCGGAACAAGATACGGATTTTCAACACCAACGTCAAGTCAGTGCTCTTGTATGGCTCAGAGACTTGGCGCGTCACGAAAGGCTTTCCAATAAACTACAGACATTCATCAACAACTGCTTACGCTCGCTGCTGAAGATCAGATGGCCAGAAAGAATAAGCAACAAGGAACTCTGGGAACGAACCAACCAAGAAACTATCACTCAACAAATATACAGAAGGAAGTGGAGATGGATGGATTGGGCATACACTGAGAAGGCCGGCTGGGGACATCACGCGTTAGACCCTCGAGTGGAACGCCGATGGGGAGCGACGAGTTGGACGTCCGAGGGTGACATGGAGGAGGTCGTGCGAGGAGGAAATGAGAGCTTGTGAGCTGTCGTGGGACCAGGTTCAAAAGATCTCAGAGAACAGAGGTCACTGGAGGCGTGCTACTGAAGCCCTATGTTCCACTAGGAACCCAAGGGACTAATAATAAATAATAAAAAATAATATGAAATTAGCGACAACGTTTAGACTTGGAAGCGTGAAATGATAGGAGCCATTTTAGCAGAAATTCTAAGTTCTACGTTTTCGTGCTAAATGGGCACTTATCGCGAAGAACGAAGAAACTCATGGGAATTAATACTGAAGTCACGAGGGATCTCTTGCAGAACTACAGCATATAGATTGGCTATCGATTAACCTGGTGGTTCCTAAGTGCTTACAGCTGGTAAGAATTTACCACAGTAGTTTGGTTTTAGAACTGAGTTTATTAAGTTTGAAACTCCAAGGAAATATGAGTTTCCTCAAAATTGGAAATACATGTTACCGATGAGTGCTGGATGAGCACAAAACCTAGGTCTAAGGTTTCTCTGTCCATATGATTCTACGGTCCAGCAGGGAACACAATGCATTGCAATTAGGTCGAAGTACAGTATTTACAAAAATTCATGATACTATAAATGAGCTGGTTGGGGGAATGGAAGAAAAACAAGTTTGGCGAAGATGAATAGCGTCTAAGAAACAATTGTTTACTAGTACGGGGTTTTTTCTTGGAAAAACTGTTTGAAATCTATATCGAATGTTATAAACTTAAGGCTTTCTTTAAATTCTTGAACTCGAATTCTTAAATCCTTCCACAGAGGTGCATACATATAGTTAGGAGGCTTATCTACTACCGTGGTGATTAACTCCATGCAATCACGTGAACGAATATGGTTACCGCATGTAGTTTTATTTTAGACAGAAAAAACACCCAAAAAGCCAGATTATTCTTTAAAACTTGTTAGAAAACCATACCTTCTGTAATTTCCTTTCGTCTTTGTATTAAAAACCACAGAGAAACAACTGCCTGTCCATTGGTGCGTTCAAGGTCATTTGATGGCCGCTCAATGACAACTAATTCAATGATAAACTATTTCAGTAACAATCACAATGAACATTGTTATGAACAATAAAGAGTTCCATTCTTGCACACTTAGTTGACACTGGACATCAAGTGGATATTAGAAAAGCATTTAAAATTACTCATCGTATACCGAGTAATTTACCAGATGGAATACGCATTTGCTTGCTTCATATAGAAGAAGTGATTGTAATTAGAAAGCTAACGTTTGTATTCAAAGGAAATTTGTTCAACCATTTGGATTATCGTGACCATCAATATGATGACCAACAACTTTTAGTATTAATTTTCAAACCTCTTTGCCTTCTGTTTTATCAATGTTCACTGGCTTTCTTATCCTTACGTAATTATTGATTAACACATTTATTGATATGCTTGTAATTCTCCGTTGTTCTACTGGATCAAACTGTTCGACACGACGAGTCCCAAACAGGGTGAAACGCACGTCCTGGATTCCTCTACTAGCCACAACCAAGTAAATTATCATAGTTATTTATTCTTTATAACTGACCACTTGAGAAAAAAGAACACTCCATTTACTTTACCAGTTACTAAGCAAGTTGCCTCAGAATAACCTGTTTTACAATATTATAATTACCATTTTGAAGCCCATATAATACCTCGTTGATTTATCGTATACAGTTTATTTTACTAGTGTTATTTTGGCGAAGTATATTAGAATAAATAACAAAATAAATAATATTTTGATCAGGATACGTTCAGCTTTGCTGATTATTTTCAGCCTTCTGATTTCTCAAACTTATCATCTTCATGACTTAATGTTTATCCAACCCCCCAACACCACTTGATTGGTATTCTGATTGAACTGTTAACCTACCTATGTCAGTGTAGAGTTAAAGACGAAGACTTTATTGAAGAAAAAAAATATTTCCTCAGTAAATCACCTTTTTTCCTAAAACTTACTGCGTAGGTCAAATGTCGAACTCAATGATGCTGCAAAAACACAGAGAGAAACAAAGGAAGCTAGATATTCCTAGCCTAAAAATCTACACCAGTGTCACTAACACGGAACCTAGGGTGAACAAGCTACGATTTGACTTTTTGATCAAAGCTGTAAAAAGTGCATGGGAAAGACTAATATCAAACTAGAGACAGGTGCATAAAAGGAGAGTGAACTTATAAATGAAGTAGTTAGACAAATCCCATAGTGATTGAAGTAAAATAAAAAATCTGGTCATCAGTCGGACCTCGTAGCTCAGTTGGTAGAGCATAGGGCAGCTAACCCGGTGGTCGCTGGTCCGAGTCCGGCCGCGGTCCAAATTTTCATTTCACCTTCAATCATCACCCAGTTTAAAGATGGAGGTTAGTCAATCAGAACAAACTTTAAAAGACATCAAAGGGTGAATACATCAGTGCCATTATCATCGATTTTCAGCTATGTCATGAAAGGTCATCAGCTACTGATTCCTATAGTATCGGGGACCCCAGCCACGTGGTCTACACCTCCCTAGACGACTCAAGTCAACAGTCATGAACTTCACGCACTGGTGCAACGTCTTAGTCTCCCGACCTTGAACTCTCTTCCAACCTAATCCAACTTCCCCTAGCATGGCACGTCAAGCTAGGCGGTCGCTGGGCATGCACAATCGACTAAGGTTCACCATCTCTTTACTTCCTTGCCTAGTAACCTACGCCTGACTTAAATATTGCTAACATGGCGACTCCACCAGACACAAGCAATGCTACGAAGACACCTATGATCTAAACCTTGTAACCGCTTCATGTCTTCTACTTTTAACGGCCATGTCTCACAGATGACCAACAGGACAGAACGAACTGCAGAGCAGTATACTCATCCTTTAATAGGTAGTCCGATATCTCGCCAACTGATGCCAGAGACAATGCAAGTTGGCAAACGCCAAACGAGGCTTCTGTACATGAGCTAAGATTTCGTCAGCAAGCAGCCCGTTAAAACTGAAGTATATCAGTAACGTAATAAAAGGTGGAAGATAAATAAATACACGGAGATAAATATACATCTACTTGAATGTGGTTTTATCACTCTGTTGACTAACCTTAACCGAGAATTTTGCATCTGTGGATTCAATGTCATTTCTCGAGTCCGTCGTACACGAATAGCAGTTAGTATATCCATAATCTGATCATGAACTACCGACTGGAATGAATATAGAAATATTACACTAGTGTTATTAAGTGATGATTATAATGAATTACTTTTTATTTACATTTACAAGTATTACTTATTTAGAAACAATGCATGAATCGCCTAACTATTAAAACAAACAAATTTTCATTTCAAGAGCCTGAAAACAATAACTTTTGATACAGATGTTCAGCTGGCTTATGTAAATTTTCTTCTTTGACCCCACTATCAAAGAAAGATCGATACTACATCAAGGCACATATCAATGCGCTACATTTTTCTGATATCCTGCGCCATCATGTAAGCCTGAGATTCAGACATAGAGTCATCGAAGATTCTACATCCAAAGTCTCAAGATTTCATATGAGCAGAGCAGGATTGCATGAAGTGAAGTGTTGTTTAAAGAGTTGTGGATTAGATTTTCAATCAGATAATCACAGGCACGAATCCCGCCCTATCAGGTAGTATCGTCGACACTAACAGTAGGTATGGTTAATTTGTCTTGAGTGCAAGCTGGCTGAGAAACATTTTTTGCAAGACGTTAGAACCGATTGACAAGTGTTACGCGCATCGATAAGAAATACGTCGAAACAACACGTTTGCTCTACTTTCAACGGACTATGCAAATATATTTTAAATATTATCGCAAAAGAACTTCACAATATGATGTTACCAAGTAGATGGCATACCTAAGGACAACAATTACATGTACATTTTGAACATCAGTGTTGGTACACTTCTTCACATCTGACTACTGCTTTAGCCTCATGGAACTTAACATTCGTAAACGCTGTGCAATCTAGACAGAGAAGAGAAAAACGTTCGCTACTGAGGTGTACACAGCGAAATATTAGTGTTTAGAAACACGTTCTGATAACAGGCACACACACGAAAACTGACATTCAGAGAATAATCTAACTTACAGATCCACCAATCACCATACAACCCAATTGTTCCATTGATTTAATCTCTAATTCTGGTAAAAGTTTTGCTGGATTTAAATTCTGTTGTAAGAATTGTAAGATCAATTCTTGAGTTTGAGGCACCTCAGCTAAAGCCACACCCATATGACCAAGGCAATAAACAGCATTCAAATACATTAAGTTGATATCTCTAAAAAGGGAAGAGTGAAAATAAGATAGGAAAACACTCACTGAAACGTACACATTAATCCAAATGATCTAGCTGCTTGAAATACATACACTATCAACCTCAAAGCAAGTACTACTACATCTGGACCTTGTCAACGCTTAAATATTTCATGGTCAATATATATATAAGCTTGACAATACTTCTAATCGAATGTCTTCAGCATGAAGATAAAGTTGAGTTATGGGATGTGACTAATTCTTCATTCTCACTTACTTTTTCTCTTCTTGCTACCCGACCGATAGCTGATACCTTGACGTGATGGTTGCATTTGTATTTCACAACGACCCAACGAGCTATGCTGGAGGAAGGCTAGTTCCCTCGCAGTCCTACAACACCAGGAGGGTCTGTTTGATAGTAGTAAGATAAAAAGCAGTTATCGTCATAGTGAAAATTGTTACATTACTGTTGGAGTCCGAGGACGATATCATACTGATGGCTGGACGAGGTTGTGATAGCAGTGAGTTGTTTACCTTGAATAACTGGCATCACCACGCTGATGCTGCCTCCCCTAAGGAAAGAGGTTTGGAAAAGCCACCTCTAAAAATAGCACACTCTTCTTCACCTCGCAGCGTACTGATGCTGCAGTATGTGGGGTTTATAGTCAAACTTGCAAAAAACACACTAACAAATCAAACTTCTAAAAAGGCTGTGTGTATAGACTCAGGTAGATATCCCTTAGGTTCTATGACTACTCGCTAACCCTTCTTTTTCAGATTCCTGAACAAAAAATAGCCTTCCACCGTGTGGGCAGCCGGAAAGTATAAACCACTCTCAGAACTCTGTCAGCACCAAAATTTTCCTCAAAACACTTTCAGGAATCGATGGTACCATCCGATTCGCAAGAGAAGTATATCCGCTGAAATCAAAACCAATCCGTATCAGATAAGCACGTGTGACCTAGTGATACTATGTATTGACCATATATATTCAACTAGCTTACACTCCTGAAACACATCACCTGTAACGTTAATTTCATAATCTTTACGCATACCATCTGCAGCACTCACACTGACTGTTCCGCCTGACTACTCCATGTAGTTAGGTGTATGGATAGGTCACATTTTATGTTCAAAACGGATAAAATGTCTACAGTAGTGAGTCTAGCAAAGCCCATATTGCTTATTGATGTTTTTTCCGAGTTCTTGAAGCTATGAATACAAGTAAGCGACGTATTTTCTTAGGTCATTTTACGAATCAAATTGTGATAAACAACGATGTGAACTGTCAACCTTTTAGATCAACTTTTTAGGCATCTAGAAGAAACTTGTAGAAGTGAACAAAGTTAAAAAAGTTAGTGTTCAAAAGGTTTGTGAGGATTTATTTATTGCTCCCAAGTTGGTATTCATCATGAACTGACATCTATTGGAGAACAGTCGAAAACCCGTTTCATCGTAGCAAAGGACTCGTCAGAAGTGCGTTCTCATGTTCCCATCAGAGATCGAACTCCAGGACCTATAAGTTACGCTGCCAACACATTATCAATAAGCCACCGAGTTGGAATTCAATATCCCACATTTGCATACTTCCTTCAATCCGCGATATCTAGCGACACATCGGTCACGACTGTTCATTAGAACTTCGAAAATCTCATCCGGAAGCAATTTACTAGTGAGCGCTGGGAAAACCAAGTCGAATTTGTGGGCAGGTAGTCAAAGATGGCATTGGATGACGATCACGTTATATAGTGAACTGAGAAAAGGAGGAAAATGTGGACCATCGGATTCCGATCCAGTGGGGCTAAATGGTAACATGCAGGCCATATGAGTTGGATGACCTGAGTTCAACCGCTGGCAAGGTCATACGCGCGCACCGCTGAAAGCTCCTATACTATAGCAAAACAACTGCTCAGCCCTCCGGCGTTTCAAATAGTTCTCCAACAGATGTCAGCCCGTGATGAATACCAACTTGAAAAATAAAGGAAACAGTAAAATCAGTTTCAGCTTTGAAATAACATTTAACAATACAACAATCACTAAACATTTGCACACAAAAATACATATAAAATAACAATGAATCACGTGTTTAAAAGAAAGAAAGAAATCTGTCAAAAATACTGAGATTACAAACAAACGGTGAGTTATCTAAAACGAAAAAAACAGTAAAATCTAAAACCAAGCAACCAGCAACCACAAAATTACATGATAAAACGTTGTATAACTGACTTCACATCAATGGTTGGTGTCAACAGATATTAACAACATTACTAATTCCACACACGAGCGGTGAGTACAAAATACAGCCGACAATGATAAAGGAAAATGATCGTCGAAAACCGGATAGCTGCGACCATCTGACTGGTTGTCAAAGAATATACGGTGTAATTCCGACTGAACCTGCAAAACGGTAACGAAATAACTTTGCAGAAAGTGAAGCGATTAACTAATGGTCCGTCTATTCATACATCTGTCAATTTTACCGATGTACCGCGACTTTCAACAAATGTCATCAGCAGAGGGTATCCACATAACTTCTAACTTGGATGACCCCAAACATCAACGGCTTCTTACCATAAAAACTTCACGAAATTCAAGTCAATAACAACAACTAGACAGAAAATTAGTCTGATGGCCATAATTCTGATCCAAAATGAGTGCACGTATCGTCAGATAGAAACGCAGATTAACACAGACATTTCATTTGTGCATGATAATAGAAGAATATACAAGCCGAATAAAGGAATGTAGACTGAAAATATATAAAAGCTGGGTCCGAAAATTAGACATAGATATTGTTCCATTGAAAAGTACTAGATTATGAATAAAACTGTGAATAGTAATGATAAACGAGACACAACAATAACAACAAACTGGTGGATGAAATAAGAAACAGTTAGAAGAACCAGTGAATTCTTTGACTATTTGGTGACATGATTGTTCTAAAAATAATATCCACACATTGATTAGTAACTGGAGAGTGAGTGATTGCAGATCGTTTAGTTCAGAATGTTGACCGAGCTAGGAGGTTAACCATCGTGATGTACCTTGATAAATGTTAGTTGATTAGAGACGATTGACAGGATACCCTGCTTGATCTAGGTTTCGTGTTTGTCGACAATCATCGTCAAAGCAAGGCGTATCTGAAATCTCGAGGGAACTGATGTTCTCCGTGAGACTGGAATCCTCTTCATGGGTACATTGCAAAGTGATTGATAGAATTCGGTCAGTATTCAGTACTATATAACATGAAGTTGATAACTCTGTTATGACCAATCAATGTATGTAATCCAGTCTCAAAAGAGGTCAATGGCGACACGAATAGCTCACCGATGTTTCTGACTGCAGTACCGGATGATGTGGATTGAAATCTCGGGAGAGAAGATTCCTTCGAGGTTCCAGGCACACCCCGACCGATAGCTGCTACCTTGACTTGATGGTCGGGCTTGCATATCACAATGACCCAACCACCTATGCTGGTGGAACGCTTGTTCCCTCGAGGTCCTACCATACCAGAAAGGTCTGTTGGATAGTGGTTAGACGAAAAGCAGTTACTGTTATAGTGTAAATTGCTACACTATGATGGGGGTCTGAGGGCGAAGTCGTACTGCTGCTAGCTCGATGGGGTGTGACAGCAGTAAGGTGTTTCCCTTCGATGACCAGCAGTGCCATACTGATGCTGCCTTCTCAGTGGAAGGGGGGGTTAGAAAAGATCGGCCCCAAAAATAACACACTCCACCATACCCCACGGTCTGCCGGGCCGGCGGTGTTGGTTCACTTATCGTTTCCTTTCGCTCATCCGGCCCCAAAAATACAAAAGTTCAAAATAATCATACTCAAAAGGCTGGGTGTGACAGGCCTCAAGCAGATGTCCGATGGGCTCTGTGGTCACACAAATCTCTTTCAGGTACCTTAAGAAGAAATAGCCTTCCACGGTGTGGGCAGCCGGGAAGTATCAACCGCCCTCACAACTCTGTCAGCACCCAAGTTTCTTCTGACTGCTACCCACCCCCTCCATCATTACCTTCTAATCTTCCTTCACGTCTCTTAATTAATGATGCTGCATCATTTTCAAGTGTGGTTATTCACCTAACCTCTCCTGGACAATCTGGTGAATCAGCAAAATCCACCCTTCGAGTACCCGGAGATTCGATAACCAGCTCTCGGGGTCTTGCAGGTGTAGGCATAGCACTAAGGACTCACTACTAGACTGGATCCCAGTCGATAGTCGTCTCTGAGCTATCTGGCTGAACGGCACAGCGTGAACTAAAAGGAATAGTGAGACTCGCTATTTTCTCTTTGTATTGTCTACCTACGCACCCACTGACTGCAGCTCCGATGCAGTGAAACACGAATTTTACAGCTCCGATACAGTACACGACGAATTCTACCGTAAACTGTCTAGCCTCCTCTCCAAAGCCAAATGTTCAGACTCACCTGGTTGTTGCAGGTGATTTCAATGCACAGGTGGGTAGACTGAGTGAGGCAGAAAGGCACTTAGGTGGCACCTTCGGAATCCCGGCTGAACGAACAGACAACGGTGATCGTCTACTACAACTATGCTCAGATAACCGCCTATTTTTAGTTAGCACAAATTTCAGACACAAAGAAAGGCACTGTCTGATGTGGCGTCCACCGAGCTCAACTAACTCAGCCATGGACACACATAGATCACATTGCTACAAGTCATAGCTAGAGAGGATCGGTGGAAGACTGCTGCTCATTCTAGAGTACGTGTTTGAACAGCAATCATGCGTTAGCCCGAGCACGTATATGCCTGCGTCTCAATGGACGTAGAAAAAATTTGGCAACAAAACCACTACGAGTGCTGCTGGACAACGAAAACACCAAAGCCGTGTTCAGTGAGAAGTTGGCTAGGCAGTTATCGGAACAAAAGACTGTCACTCATCCAGAAGAAGCTTGGTGCCATCTCCACTCTGCTGTAAAAGCAGCACTGGAGACTGTAGCCGACTCCAAGATAATGGCTAAAAAGAGCCAGTGGATATCAGCAGCTTCTTCCAAACTAAT